GAGTGGAAATAAAAAGGACTGATTCCGAAGCCGTCTCCTGGAAGATTATTACACATCCACCACTGGAGTGGAAGAATGGCAGGCGCATCTTACAGATGACCAGTCGATGGTCAGTGGGCAGATCAGCTCCACGGTAGGTCCTGGTGTCAAGGACATGGGCCCGCATCCGCTGTTCCATCACTACGTAGTCCAGCAGATGTTGTTGTTTGGACCCAGCATGCATCCATGATGTTGTTTGGATGTGCTGATGCCAGAACAGCGTGTTGGTAATTACAAGCCCATGGGCTGCACAACAATCTAGCAGCCTCCTGCTGTTGTCATTGAGCTGATCTGGCCCATGCCTTCCAATCACTCCAGACCAGGTGCCAGCATCATGACCAACTCGGGCATTGAAGTCACCCAACAAGATGACTCTATCCCGAGGGGCCACTTGAGCTAGCTAGCACCTGTGACTGGAGGTCATAGAAGGCATCTGACTCATCGGCTTTGCCTGCATCCCTCCAGTGGGGACATAAGTAACCACGACCACCACTCCTCGCCTTTGGTTGATAGGAAGTCGAGCCCAAAGTAGCCTGGGGATTACAGCTTCCCACAGCTCACCGCCATGCTCCCACGCCCCCTTCATTCTTTTGTTCAGAAGAAGAGCCACACCCTGTTGTTTGGCAGTCTCCTGCCCCAAGAAGAGGACTGTCCACTCCTCATGGTGGCAGGAGCCAGAGCCGGTCCTCCGGACCTCCTGAATACTACAGAGATCCAGGCGGTACCGGTCCAGCTCCCAACAGAGAAGTGGCAGCCTCTCCTCAGCAGTGAGCGTTCGAACATTCCACTTGGTCACACGTAAGTGTTTTTTGTTGTTTCTGGAGGAGCTCCGAGGGTAAGTATTCAGTCTCTTGGCTCCACCAAATGGGGTTTGGCCAGCAAACGTCATAGATGCCTGTCCCTCCGGGGCCTCCGGCACAAGCTTATTAATAAAAAAATTCCGTCGTGATTTAGTGGTAATTAAATGAAGGTGGAGGGGTTACCAGCCCCTCGCACCCGTCCAGAGCCCCCATCTGGCCGCTGTGGTGGTCAGAAGCGCCATGAGGGGAAAGGCCAATTGGAATTGGCCCTCCCCCCACAGCACTGTCCACGACAGCGTTGCCAGTCCGGCACCACGAGGAGGTAGGGGGTTGTTTTGACTGACTTTCACACATGCAAACAAAGACAAACATAGCCCGTATAGCCTTAGCAAACTGTACTGTTAGCGAGCAGCACATCTGAAGGCCCGAATGGCACACGAGGAGGTGAGTGGCCAGCACCACGCCCGGCCGCCTTTGTCTCCCCAGTGGCGTTGTTTATACACTGCAGCAGGTAGGCATTTGAGGCTAAATCGACCTAGGTATTAGGGGATAATCGTCACAGCTGTTGAGGCACACACACTCACTTTCACCCGCACACAAATACAAAGATCCACCATATAGCCTTAACAGACTGTTGGGGAAAGTGCAGTTAGCGAGCACCTATGAAGGCTGACACGGCACACGAGGATGGGTGGCCAGCACCACGACCGACTGCCTTTGGGGCCGTCCATAAATGACGTCACGCGATTTTTTACGAATTTTGACCCCCACCCTTCGTCACACGATGTCACAGAAAGTCAGAGCCCCCCCTCAAATATGACGTCACAAAGCTCGCCCCCCCTCCCCCCCCAAAAAAACGCTTCAAATCGCTTTAAACTATTGTCATTGTAGTGCGTGTTTAATGTGGCGCTGCACTCTGATGTTATAGGAGAAATCATTTATTAAAAAGTCTATTTAATTAAGTAGAACGTGTTGTCTATGTTTATTTAAAGTTGCGCATTTTGATGTGACGTCACATTTCTCACCCCCCCCCCCTCGTCACACATCGTCACAAATGTCTGACCACCCCTCCCCCCTAGGTGCGTGACGTCATTTATGGACGGCCCCTTTAGTGCTCAGACAGGGACCTACTGAACACTATCACGTCATCCAGGTAAATTAGGCACTGTTCCCATTGCAAGCCCCGCATCACCAACTCCATCAACCGCTGGAATGTCGCCGGCGCGTTAGTGAGTCCGAACGGGAGTGCTTGGAACTCGAACAGTCCCATTCTTATCCTCTGTTTACGTTGGTGTGTTCAACCTAGAGCAAGAAGACGGGAGACGAGAACTCAGCAAACCTCAGAAATATAATGTGATGCAACCCAGTCGGCCAACAACACAGTTAGATACTAAACCTGGTTGACCACGTATTTCAAAAGACTGCTAAATGTTGCGTACATCTTCTCGGTTGAACACAAAAACGTAAACAGAGGATAAGGACTCGTGAACAGACACGAGGTACAAGGTAGCAGAGATACATACACAGAGAAGACACACAGGGAAAGGTGTTTTGGGCAGCACAGAGGGACACAACGAGCAACACCACACCAAGAGACATACACACATGGAGAGGCACACGCAGAAAGACGCCCGGAGGGGTAACGTACAGGGACTTATATAGGCTGTAGAGGTGGGGTTAGGGAAGGGTAACCGTGCATGGACATGCAAATACCAATGTATTTGCCTCCGTGCAATTTGCCGTTCTCGATGTGCTCTGTGTGTGATGCCCCTCTGTGTGTTCCCTCGCTTGTCTCCCATCTTCTTGCTGTATTTGCCTCCGTGCACTTTGCCGTTCTCTGTGTGCTCTGTGTGTGATGTCCCTCTGTGCGTTCCCTCGCTGTGTGGTTTACGACATTTTCACCTGAGGACGAGCGCTTGTGTTGCGTTTGAAACGTCGTGATTTATTTTTATTTTATTTTATTTCTACATATGTGACTTTACCGAAAGAACCAATGAGTATAGGTATTAAGGTGTTCAAACAACAAATGTAAACCTTTTGTAAGGAATAAAGTCTGCATTAACCACACGTACTTGTGGTGAACATGCAAACATGTTCTAATAATATATGCATTGTCTTTGAAACTGATTGACCTACACCAGAGACAGCCTTCCTTAGGGCCTAGTATCACCAATGTAAGACCAGAGAATGCCAAAAGGTGAAGAGTGCGAGCTATAAATGCTCTGAGTGCATTGTCTTTGTACTGTTTACCTTCTGGCGTTCTCTGGTCTGACGCTTGTGAGACTAGGCCCAAAAGAAGGCTGCCGATGGTGTAGGCCAATCAGTTTTAAAGACTGCATATATTATCAGGGCAGGTTTGTTTGCATGTTCACCACAAGTAAGTATGGTTAATACAGACTTTGTTAATTAGAAAAGGTTTATATTTAGTTTGTGAACATTTAATACCTGTTTTATTGCCAGAAAGCGTAAAACCTATTGTTTTTTTTCATACCTGAAGGTGCCTGCTGTATATTTGAGGTTTGCATGTTCTCTCTCCTCGTGATTGTGTGGTTTTTCTCCGTGCCCTCTGGGTTTTCCCTCCACATTCAGATTCAACATGCATGCAGAGTATTTGGCTGCTATTACACATTCCCACATGATGAAAAGCTAGTTAGTTGAGCTACCATTATTGGCCAGGTCGCTTCTGAAAAAAAAATCGATATATCTCAGTGGGCTTTACCTGTTACAACAAATATTCTATAGTTTAGTAGTCCTTGAGCTGCTTGCAGGTAGGATCATTGTTTTCATAGCCCCCACTCACTGTGCTTAGATTAGTCGTCCCTAGAGTACAGCAAATCGGGGTTACCTCCCTGTTCCCCTCGCCCTTTGGGAGGCCCCCGCACTTCGACGTCAGGGTGTCAGATGTAATTCTTCCGGTTTAGTTTAAAGGCGTCGGGGGGCGGGGCACATAGTGAATTTATCCCGAGGTCTGCACCCCCTATGGATGGCCCTGGCAGTGGCTATGTCATACTGAACATCTGTGGAAAAGAGCTTCATATGTTATCGGATTGCTCCTCCAGTACAAATTAAAAACAATAATTGATAGGCGTCGGGGTGTGGGAAAAATGGTAGAGCAGGAGTAGTAGGCCAATGCGTACTCGGGCCTGTATGTATTTGTGATAATGCAGATGCTAATGTTGCTGACGATGATGATGCAGCTGATGATATTGCTGATGTTGCAGATGATGATTTTACTGATGGTAATTGTAGCTTGGCATAAAATTTGCAAACATGTTAGCATGTTTTACCACAAGTGTAGTGGCATAAATTAGTAGTATAGCTGGCAGGAAAGGGGATCAGCGGCTTACGGTAGCCCTGACGTCAGCATGCCAGGATATATACCAGAGGGGGATCTAGGGGAAAGGTCACAGAAGGGGCGGAGCGAGGCCACGCTGGCAGTATAAGAGGGGCCCCTGTAGGGGCCCTAGGGGCTGTTGTTGAAGTGGGATCGCTGTTGTGCTGCTGAAATCTTTGTCACCATTCTCGTCGTCTTCACCATTTTTCTTCTCATCGTCTCCGTCTTCACCATCTTGGGGCCCCACCAGTCAGGCGGCCTACCAACTGTCCTGACTGAGTAGCGTCGTCGCCAATAGACATACTAATAGTTAGGAGTGGTAAACCCGATGTTGCTGGTTAATAACGAAGTGCCACCAAGTCTTATTGTCTCCGAGTTAGTCACCACACAAGTTTCTGTATCAGAATCTTCATTTAGACTGGAGGAGGTGGAATTGATAAGTTATGAACCTCTTTTTTCACAGATGTTCAGTGGAGTTGAGTCAGCAAGTTACAAATATGTGTGGTTAATGTCTTGTAATAGGTTTAGATTTTTGTACGAAGATCTTAACGCCTCCTGAAACATTATTTCCAGAAAGGGTAAAGCTTATACTTTATGTAACCTTGAATGTGGCAAAAATATTACTTAGAATTCTAGACAATGAAGAAATACAGAAACACACCGGTTGATCTCTAAAATAACTTTATTACACAATAAAGGTGACAAATCACATGTTAGTCATTGACCAATACACCTTATATCGCGAAATGTTAAACACATTCACCAAATTCTTCATCAAAGAATGCAATAGATTAGGTGACAACCAAACAAGAGAATTAGAAAGTTTTTCAAAAATCAATCAACAAACGACCACCTTCAAGCAATCAAATACAGAGATACACATTGTGTAAAATACTAGTTTCACATTGCTTTCATAGCTTACCCGAATTAATTTGATTTTAATAGAACGAGCATATCAGATCTAAGTCAACGAAGAGTTTAAACAAAACATAACTTTGAGGAACATCTGCAATTGAAGTATTGCCTGCATTAAACGAGAATGCCCACCTTGACACATATGTCTGCGTCAAATTATACATTCATGATTGATTTGGGTTAGGCCACAATGATCTGACCAAATCTGCGTCGTTCGATAAAACCTACACAGCAAACAAACTAATTAGAAGAGCAATCCAGAAAGCCAGTCACTTTGCCTTTCTGGGTCATTCCTCTGACTTACTATATCTTGTGCTAAAGATGCCTGCCTAAGTCAGACCTAACTGAGCAGAGTAAAAATTAACCCGTAAAAACAAAGTTTTTCACTATAAATCCTTTATATGCGTGGCGGCTAGAGTCCTCTCGTCCTCTGGCTTGAGATGGCTGCCACCTATGGGTCAGATGATTGCCTGCCACCATTAAGCAATTGGTAATTAAATATAAAAAAAAATTTCTAAAATGTTGAAAATTTTTTGGAAATTGTTTTCACGAAAATAAATTGTCACACACAACGAGTCTGTGTGCAAAATGTCAGCTCGATTGGATCACGGGAAGTGGGTTAAAAAACGACCGAAAGATTTGCACGGTCGTAAGCGCACAAGCAAGCAAGCAAGTGAACTTAATATAAAGGATTTAAAAATGGCTGGATTTATATAGTATATAATGTGTATGAAATGCAATCGAATTTTTTCTTAATATAGTATGCATATTTAGTGCTATAGATTATGTTTCATAGTATATAAGGTATAAGAAATTTAACAAAAATGTTACGGAGAATATAATGCAAATTAAATTTAAAGAATGTTATATAGTCATATTCCGCCAAGATCCATCTACTTCTGGATCTAGGCATCTCCAGCCATCACCATCTCTCTTAATCCTGCAATGTGATTATGCAACTAGCCACCTCTTGAAGGCCCAATCCCTTTCTTGAAGGCCCACCTCTTTTTAAACGTCCACATATTTGGTAACGGCACCACCACTTACTTTAAGATACACATCTTTCTTAAAGGCCCTATGCCTCTTTTCCGTTGGCTTTCGAGTGACACTGAGCTTTAGAGTAACCAATTTATGTCAACGATATGGATAAAGTTGTACATACTTGGTACTTATTGAATTTATTAAAAAAATATTTGAGAGGCAAACTATACCGTGCAATCTTAATTTTAGAACTTTCGTGACTGCAGGAATTATTATTTGGTTCTTTCGGTTAAGTCACGTGACTTAACCGAAAGAACCAAATAATAAAACTATACCGTGCAGTTAGGTGGGAATAAGCGTATTTATCATGTAAATTTTCTCAATATATAAATTGAGTGGGAACCAGTTAAGTGTTCGAGAGATACGGAAGGGATAGTTGTGGCAGGATGAGGAGCCGTACACATTGAGGTCCTCTGGGCAGAGTCGTCCATCGGAGGGTGTGGGGCCTGGAGAAAATCCCACTGTGGGCACCCAGACACCATAAAACACAGGGCCTGGAGCCGTCACCCCGATTTGCCGTACTCTAGAGACGGCTCTGCTGTGAGTCTATGGGCAGTGTTGAGTGCATGGGTAGTGTCGAGTCTATGGGCAGTGTTGCGTATATGGGCAGTGTTGAGTCTTTAGGCAGTGGTGAGGCTATGGGCAGTATTTTTCAGGGCCATCCAAAGGGGAGTGCGAGGCCCGAGGAAAATCCGACTGTGTGGGCCTCTCGAAGCCGAATAGTAAATCGGAAGTTGTACATCTAACACTGTGACGTCGAAGTGCGACCCCGCCCCCCTCCAAGTGTGAAGGGAAGATCAGGGTTAATCTAATCATTTTATTATAATGAATTATGTTCATCTGAAAATGTGCAGTACATATTACTGGTTAGAAGACTGTGGGAGATGCCGAATGTTCATAAACAATTCTATTCAACAGTGGATTTATCATGGCTGATGATGAATGAAAAAAATGTTCAGCCTCTTGTAATTTCACTGCTGGATGAAGTGCTCCTCATGTTTTATTCACGTGGGTTGTTTTGCCATTCTTCACCACACTGGTCAGTAATATCAACCAACATGGATTGATCGTGGTTGATAATGATTATTGGCGAATGATGGGTGATGGTGTTCATATGTTTCACATTTGACCTGCAGCATAATTGCATCTTCACCAACCACGCTTAGCTGATGATGCATTTTTTATTTTTGTCCATCTTCTCCTCGTGGTTCTGCTCTATGTCTTCGATGTTTTCATCCGTGTGTGTCTTGATCACATCCATATGCTTGCTGAATAACTTCAAAAAGCTCTGAAAGAAAGTCATAAAATGCTCATCACCGAATTTATTTCATGGAATTAATTTCTAGAGGTGACCTCAGTAGGAGGTGCAATGGCCGAGCGGTAGCAGGTTTGCTGCTTGTTGCAGGCGTTAATGGATCAAGAACATCAGCCACCCTTGTAAATACTGGTGTATGTATTCATCATACAGAAAAGGCACTGTTAAATACCTTGTGACATTCTGAAAATAGTAGGCTATGTGTTCTGCCATGAAAGTCCACGTTTTCAAAATGATATAAATTAATCGACTGACAGACTAATGTCCACTTCCAGATTGTGACAGCTGTCACTGAGGGTTCTCTTGAACAGACTCGCGCAGATGCATTGCATGGGAGGCCGCAGTAAACATAATTCATATGAAAAAATGATGATAATGATGATGGACGGTGATTATATTGTTGACAGGAGGGGATAGGGCTCGCCACCAATAGCTGTTGTACTGGTACAGCCCTTTTATCTATACACTGCTTGATGAGGGCATTACCAAGCTGTGCAAGCCGTGGGGGATATTTGACCCCACTGGTCACTACGGGTTGGTGATAGGAGGGAGCTTAGATGTGCCCACCACTTAACCCCGCTGCCACCTATGACAAATTGCTGTGCATAGTGGTGCTTGCCCATCTAATCACTATTCTTAGGTGTTTTCGGTAAAGTCACGTAGGTAAAACATTAAAAATTAATAAAAGTAAAATAAAATAAAAATCACGACGTTTCGGAGGCAACACAAGCTTCCATCTTCAGGTGGAACCGTCACAGCCACGACAGTTGTATCAAGTAAATGCGAGATTGCAGGAGCTACCACTCCGTTTATATAATGGTTGGAGAGGGGGGAAGGGCCAAGTACAGCACACTTTTTTTCATATGGTAAGGTGAGGCTTAAGAGGGTGAGCCTTTGTTATGGAGAGGTACGGTTTGTGACTCAACATGTGACAAGGAGAAAACAACTGAACATGGTAAACCTGTAATAGTTGTCTGTCAAATAAGATTGGCCAAATAAGTGTAGTTAAATCTTTTTTGCATGGTTAATCACATCTTTCCAATGATTACTCAGTTTGTAACCATCATCACGGTTGAAATTATGTCCGTGTTTGTGTTTGTTACAAACTGAATAATCATTGGAAAGATGTGATTAACCATGCAAAAAAAATTTAACTACACTTATTTGGCCAATCTTATTTGACAGACAACTATTACAGGTTTACCATGTTCAGTTGTTTTCTCCTTGTCACAGGTTGAGTCACAAACCGTACCTCTCCATAACAAAGGCTCACCCTCTTAAGCCTCACCTTACCATATGAAAAAAAAGTGTGCTGTACTTGGCCCTTCCCTCCTCTCCAACCATTATATAAACGGAGTGGTAGCTCCTGCAATCTCGCATTTACTTGATACAACTGTCGTGGCTGTGACGGTTCCACCTGAAGACGGAAGCTTGTGTTGCCTCCGAAACGTCGTGATTTTAATTTTATTTTACTTTTATTAATTTTAATGTTTTACCTACGTGACTTTACCGAAAAAAACCTAAGAATATGAATCTTTGCAGTCACGAAAGCTTCAAATCTACATCTAATCACTATCCAGGACCATTCCTACTTAGTATCCAAGATCTGACCATATTTGGCAGTTTCTGAGTAATTTAGCAATTTTGACATTTTTATTCTTGTTAGTTTTGACTTTGGTGGTGTGGTGGTGCGGTGGTTTGCACAGCGCACCTTGAACCCAAGTTCCCCTTTCCAACCCACACTGATGAGCATGGTGAAGTATGGTTCAATAATGCCCACAGTCTACATGGCAAGGGGAGGCCCTCATTCAGTAGTGGACTGAAACACGAATATACTACTCCAGCCATTGTGGCCCTTAACTTTCACTCAAACGTCATAAATTATTGTTCCTAAAGTGATAATTTCTTAGAACTGCTTTTTGTGTTTATTTTTTTCCTTCCCCTTCACCTCCACTTAGCACTGTTGGCTACGTACGGTGTGAAGAAAAGTTGAACATACATACAAACAATTACAGATATGTGCTAGATGCACACAGCTAAAAAGCACAACTGAATATGAGTACCGAGGACAGTTATTCAAGGTAGAACGGGATCAATATCCTTAAATAAAGAGGCAGGCAAGAGCAAGTTCGAGAGCTGTTGGAAAGCTGAACTTGATCATGTAAAGCAACATATCAATGTGCATAAGAAGGATTTTAATCCATATCTACTCCCTGCTATGGCTTTTGGATCCTAAACAAAGGCAGTAATAAACTAAGTTGAACACAAACTGAAAAGTGTACAAAACATAAAAAATGCATGCTTGGAATTACACGTGAATAAGGGAACAAGTGTTAATTAGAGACATCACTTGGCTGTTGAGGTGAGTTGGTAGCTCAAAGATCTGAGCACTGAGGCAGCTGGCACCTGTGATTAAACTGGGGTTTCAAATGTAATGAGTTGATAGTTTCAGCCTTGTCACCAATGTTATCATGAAAAAACGTAAAAAAATAATTAAAAAAAATACAACAAGGAAGGAATGTCATGAATATATGCATGGATTCTATAATGATTTCAACATGTAGGTATCTCCAAATATCTCTTTCCGCTGTACGTCAGGATTGAAAACATAACCTGCTATGGTTTGTTGTTTAATATGGTGACAAAATGGTGAAAGTAGCATGGTCTTTTTCTTGAAAATTAAGTGTCATTTATACCTCCAGGTTAAAGATAGTAATAGCTTTGGGAGGAGCTCCGCGAATAGTGTCCAGTCCGCTGGAGAACTGGTATGTAGTGATGTTGTTCGCGATATATTTTATGTTTGGGTGGCGGCAGTCAGTGCACTGTGGGTCATCTTTAAGTTCCCACTCGTGGAAGAGTTGTGCACAGCAACCAGTCATTGGTCTGAAGCGGTTGATGGATCCACCACAGTTTTATTGGCAATCCAAAGCCTCAGTGAGGCTTTATGAGGAACCTTCAGCAGACCTCCACAACGTTCACAGTGGTCTTCAGCTGACCCTGCCTCTCAGACGAGTTTGTGTAGGGTCGAGCAGGTCTTGGTGTAATGGGAGATTTACACTTTCTAAGATTTTTTTCCCAGTTAGTTTTGTGGCGTGGCATCCCACCAGAAGTTTGTTAGCATAAGGTTGGCAAAAAAAGGGTTAGTTACTCAATAGGAGAGCATTTAAGTTTGCCCATTATTGTAAAGGATGCTGTTGATCTGGATGTCTAATTCCTTCGTGTGGGTACTCTGCCAAGACTGGGCGCAATACTCATAACTGGAGAATAGAGTAGTATTGGTAGTGGCTCCCCATGCTGTAGCGGCCATTTTTTGAATCAGAGACCATCTGGTCTTTGTTGTATTGTACATTTTTTTAATCCTTTATATTAAGTTCGCTTGCTTGCTTGCGTGCTTGCGTGCTTGCTTGCTTGCTTACGACCGTGCAAATCTTTCGGTCGTTTTTTAACACACTTACCGTGATCCAATCGAGCTGACATTTTCCACACAGACTCGTTGTGCGTGACAATTAATTTTCGTGAAAATTGTTTTCCAAAATTTTACACTGTTTAGAAATTTTTTAAAAATATTTAATTACCAATTGCTTAATGGTGGCAGACAATCATCTGACCCATAGGTGGCAGCCATCTCAAGCCAGAGGACGAGAGGACTCTAGACGCCCGTTTCATGATGACGCAAATGTTGACTAACCACATGGCATGAAATCCCTGCCCCCACGCTGTACAATGAAGACTATTTATAGAGCAGTTAAATTGAAGCCGCAAGGTTCTTGAAAGTGGTAAAACGGGTCAACGCTAGTGCCCTCGGGAATATACGGGGCATGTCAAGAGGTGATCTTACATATAAAGGATTTATAGTGAAAAACCTTGTTTTTACGGGTTAATTTTTTTTGAGATGCAGCCGTCTAATGTTAACTCCAAGTATTTAGGGTATGGCTTGTTTTTGACATGGTTTCCACAGAAAGTCACTTCCAACTGCACACTTATGTAGTGGTTATTTGTATAGTAGATTGAGACAGTTTTGGATAGAGAGAAAACGACATTGCCACAGTAACTTCTGGCAGGTCAAAAGCTGGCTTTTTAGATGGGAAGGTGTGGCTTGACTGTAGGCACAATGCGTGTGAGTGGCGTGTGCTCCATAATTTGTATGCTGTCGATTGATTGTACCTTGAGGTCTGAGATTCTGGTTTTACCAGTTTCAGCAGAGCAACGACTCTTGCTCCCTGCCATGGTCTGGAGATTGTATCACTTAAAATAACAGTGGTAAAACATAACTGATAGCCAGTTTTAGCCAAGATGTCCCAAGTTCTTGACGCATTTGGGATACATGTTTTTGTTTGCAGCAATTTAGGCTATGGTGGCACATAGTGCATCAATAATCTCTTTTCTCGAGTATGGACGGGAGAATGTGGAGCTTGTTGGTAGGCTCTTTTGGGTTGTGGTGAGATCTTTGTGTTCATCTTGTTTATGCTGTGTGTTTATTGTGGCTTTTGTTCAGGCGAGGTGGTGAGTCAATGTTGTTAGCGGTGACTTGGGACTCCTTTTTATAGGTAGTATGCTGGTGCCAAGATGGTGAAGGAGATTTCACGCTTTGTGGCTGGAATGTGCAAAGTTAATCTCCTCAATGTTTCTCACCCTCACTGTTATCAGGCTAGATTTAGTGTCTCTAATAGCGCTGATGCCTTTGCTGTATCACCAGTTCTTTTAAACTGCTTTCAGGAGTGCATTGTTTTCCAGATCCCAGCTTAGAGTGTCTGGGGATGTTGTTGGTGGCTGCTGAGATGATGGCAGCCGACAAAATGTTGTGGTTATTTGGAACTGAAACGATGGTTTGTGGCGTGATTTATGTTTTGGCCTGGAAGGCTGACTAGTTAGTTTTTCGGAAGTTAAAGCAGGCAACTGGTTTGGATGTGATCATCTACATTTGAATCCTCGTGTGGATAACTGCTGGTCATTGTTGGCATCTAAGGAATAGTCTTACGATGTTCTTCATTCTGAAGAGTGAAAGGCTATGGTGACCTTCGAAACAAAGTAGAGGTCTCAGTTGTATGCCCGTTTCCATCGAGCAGAGTGTAAACTGCCTCTCTATGTATGGTCCAAAAGCAAATCGTTTATGGATGACCAGTCCATGAGTTGATCTCTTGCTTCATTGTTTCTGACTAGTCCAATTGCAGAGGATGACTGATAAAGTCATGTATACCATTGAATGGGCTGCATAAGGAATACTTTGGGTTGGCCAAAAACTCTTCAGCGATTTGACATGTTGGTGACTAACACCTGGCCGCTTCTGATGGTGTTTGGCAATGTTTTTTTAGTGATGACTCTTTCTGTCACCTCATAGACTGCAAGCGGTGGCTTGATGTAAGTGGAAATGGTTGATGTCATATCCGTGGATTTTATAGCTTGTGAGTCGGTTGTCCTCGGCATGGGTTTCCTGGATCACAACAACTTCAATGTCTTCATGATGTAACACTTGGCCAGCACATGACACTTTGTATGCGAAAGACTTCCATGTTTAGACGATACACTCATAATGCAAGTCCCACTTCTCTGGCTGGTCTTTTGACCCTGAACAGGACCGTTTTTCGGATGGGATTTACACATTTTAACATGAATATATAATTGATTTCTAAAAAGACTGAGGTGATGGAATTAGTCGTGCAATATTATACGTAACAAGTGGGAAGTGTAAAGGCTACCATCTCCAACCCAGTAGCATGATGCACATTAGAGAAATTATATTGACTATTAAAGAAAAGTGCATGGGTTTGTACAGGACATGGCATAGCTAGATGAGATGAAGTCCAGGCCGCAAATCAAAACATATCCTGGAGTGACAGCCAAAGAAGGGAGTGCTTTCGAGAGTACATCCGCTGAGAAAATTTAGTGATAACATTAGTTTGTGTGTGGGTGTGAGGTGGATTGCTACATCACAACACTGTGGTGGTTGTGAGGAATGCCATTGGGGGAAGACTGATTCCATTTGCCTGTTTCCCTCAAGGCACTCAAAGCTGCCACATCAGCCAATGGGGGCTTTGGATGGGTGCAACGGGCTGATAACCCGTACATCTTCAATAAACTTACTAGAAAATCACCTTTGAAATACTAAAATAAGCTTGTGATGGAGGCCTCAGGGGTCATGCGTCTATGACATATTTTGGCCAAAGGGGACTGAAGCCACACATTCGTGGTTTCTCCATAAATGTTTAAACACTCACTGTGGAGGTGAGGCTGCCACTCCTCTCTTGGGACCTGGACTGGTACCACCTGGATCTCTGTTGTATCCAGGAGGTCCGGTGGACTGGTTCTGACTCAGTCACTATGACGGGTGGAAAGTCCTCTACTCAGAGCAGGAATCTTCCAAACAACAGGGAGTGGCTCGTCTTTTGAACAAAATCATAAAGGGGGTTTGGGAGGATGGCAATGAGGTGTGGGAAGCTATGTCCCAGGCTACTATAGGTTAGTCCCCCCAATCAATCTGAAGTGAGGAATGATGGTGGTGGCGACTTACACACCAACTTAAGATGAATATCAGTAGAGGGTTCAAAGAAAATTGCAAAAAACTACAACATTTCGATCGCAAGATAAGCGGCCATTATCAGGAAAAGGGGGTTAGCTTCTAAAGGCAAACTGTTTATAAAGGTTTGATATGGACGTAGCCCAAATGTCAGCAGCATGGGCGGGGCAGCCAATCTTAATGTAGGTGGTGGGCGGCGACCGCGACAGTGGTGGGTTTTCCACCAATTAAAGGGGAGTATTTGCATGCAACTATTATAAAACTAATAGATCTTTTAACAAACTTCGAAACAAGAAGGCTCATCTGCATATTAACATAGCCACCTCAGCGTGATTGCCATGGAGGCTGCTCACTGATCTTACATTAACATGCAAATTTTTACCTGGCAGCCCTTTAATTGGTGGAAAACCCACCACCATCACGGGCGCCTCCCACCACTTAGATTAACAATAACTGCCCCGCCCATGCTGCTGACATTTGGGCTACGCCCATTTCAAGCCTTCATAAACAGTTTGCCTTCTTTAGAAGCTAACCCCTTTTTCCTGATGACGACCGCTTGTGTTGCGATCGAAAGAGTCGTAGTTTTTTGTTATTTTCTTTGAACCTATCTATATGACTTTACCGAAAGACCCAAAGAATATGAATTCCTGCAGTCATGAAAGCTTTTAGTCAAGATTTATCAGTGGAGAGATGCAGGCAAGGCCGATAAGTCAGATGCCTTGTATGACCTGTCACAGGTGTGAGCTAAAGTGGCCCCTTGAGATAAAGTAATCTTATTGAGTGACTTTAATGTCCGAGCGGGTCATGATACTGGAACCCGGGCTGGAGTGGTTTAAAGGTATGGGCCAGATCAGCTCAATAATACTGGTAGAAGGCTGCTAAGACTTCTGTGCAGTCCATTTACTTGTAATTACCACCACACTGTTGCAGTATTGGTGGATCCACACAGTATAGATGCACGCCTGGTCCAAGCAACAAAATCTGTGTGGACTATATCGTGACAGAACACCGGATGCAGGCCCTACCATGGAGCTAGTCTGCCCACTGATTATCGGCTTATCATCTGTAAAATGTGCCTTTGAAAACTGTAAGCAAGAATCTCATCATCGCTTGCAGCTGGGGTTGGCACCGTCTGCCATCATGATGCTGAGGAGAAATGAGTGAGTTTCATTACAACAGTCGGGACCACTGGACAGGTTCCACAGGATTGGATGGATGCCCTTTAATAACGGGGACCACACAAATTGTAACAGCTACAGGGGCATGTGTCTCTTCAGTGTGCATGGAAAAGTCCTGGAGGATCATCGAACATCGCCTTACCAGGCATGCTGAGGAGAGGCTTGCGGAGCCCCAGTGTATTTTCAGGCCAGGGGGGGCCTGCACAGACACTATGTTTTAACAGGACCGTCATCAGTTCTCTTGTGTTATTATTTTGAATATATCTATGTGACTTTACCAAAAGACCCAAATAATATTAATTCCTGCAGTTACGGAAGCTTTAAGTCAGAACCTATAACGCTGCTTATTTATCTGGTCAAGGCCTATAATACCATAAATAGGCCATGGCTCTAGGTTCTTCATGCTTTCGGAGTCGCAGACTCCTCACAGTAATTATCGCCCTTCATGATGGTGGGTATGCCTGGGTGAAGCTATGTTGCTGGGAGCTACAGCCATTCCCTGTTCACATTGGGGTGCTACGGGGATGTCTTCTGGTTGCTACATAATTTAAGAACAATTTGACCACTTACTTCTATATAGATACAGTGGGAGGCTGATCGACGAACGGGTGCAGTCGAGGGATGGCTCAATATTGGTCAACCATGTTATGTATGCAGATGATCTGGTGATTGCTGCTGACTACAAAAAAGGAATTGAACCTCGAGCATGCTACTAAGAGGTGGGGCCCCACCAAATCACGTGGAAAACCTGGGATCATCACCTGGTGCTGATTTTGAAGGTACGAAATCTCCTTCTCATGGTTTTCTTGTGCCTCCTTCATGGTCTTTAGCTCCAGTGCCATTCTCGCTTCCTTCTGCTTGAACTCTGTAAAATGATGAAACGACATTTATTTACACACCTCCACCCAACGTTAATGCATTCTAATATTGACAGCGTTTTTGAATTAGCTACGTTTGCCTGTTCATTGGTAGTGCTCCACATAATGTTGAGCACAGTAAAGTGTAGAGTCTGGCTGTTGATAGAGGCAGAGGAAGGTAGGCATGAGGTGCCACTTTAGAGAGGATTTTCCTTCAGGATTTCGAGAATCTGTTTTGGAACAGCCAGCACTCGATTGAAGATCCTCCCAACATACTTTTTGTCAAGTCACACTGCTAGGCTCCCATTGTTTGAGAGGCCAATCTGAAAGTTTTTAATTAAGTCTGGCTCTAGCCAGACTCACTATGACAAACAAGCAAGCCCATGAGAGTATATGAGGGCATGTGCAGGGCCATTGGGGGAGGGATGACGCAAGCTTACAATACCCCTGGAGAGCAGACTGTGTTGCTGCATGTGAAGTACCGGTGAGGACGCTTGACGCCGAGGTTGAGGCACACATATATTTATTCACAATACGACAGTGGGCATATACACACTCGAGGGGGTATCGGCCCCCTCACCCGTATAACTCGGGATACACCCTTAGCTAACTCTGTCCTAGCCCCGAGTCCTCCACTAATGGGCTAGGGGAGGCTATCTGGCCCGACACTGGTAAGTCGGGCCCAGTACCCGGAGTTCCAGACCAGCTCTTACAAGAGCTCCGGCTCTGGCTTTCGGGACCACGCCGCCGGCTCAGTCCTGTCCGGCCCTGAAAAGGACATCGAACTAGGGGAGTCCAGGGCTCTATCTAAGACGTCTTCAGTCTTCTTCCCTTAGCTTAAAACATAACTGAACTCGAGCCCTTTGAACATCCCCTTTTATACCCAACCCCTCCCTGAGGGGTGGGGCCCCGGGGGATCATAACGTTCGAACCAGCCCCCCCCAGGGTGTCTGGCTCGGACGTCGTAGAGGGCACCTCCTCGTGCACTTACGTAGCCCCGCCCACTGTGTTTGTTTTCCATAGGCTGCAATGCATAACGGGCCCTCTCTTTAACACCCCTACACATTCAACCACGTGGGAGAAGAAACTGGGCTACACGCCCAGAGCCAAAACCGTGTAATTAATAATGTCAAAGGAAATCACTGGGTGTGTTTAAGTCAATGTGGGCACTGAGTGTGCCTGTGTCAGAGGCAGTATAGGGTGTGCGCATATAGAGGGAATCCATACAAAACTCTCCAATACCATGTGTTATAAGGTCTGTGGAACTCTTAATACATATTTAAAACTGCAAGAGCGACTCTGGCAGCATGTGAGAAAGATGTGTGGGGTTGTCACGAGATCGACTTATCACTAGGATGACGCTACGCTTCTATAATGAGGGTAGCGGGGGTGGGTCATGATAACTTTAATACAAATTTCAAGATTAATAAAAGTATGTTTAAAGTTATGTTACTATTAGGGGCTCATGCAATTAAAATATATATATCAGAGGTACCCAAAACTTAAGATAAAACCAATGCTGAAAGGCCAGCGTGCCTACAGAGCACAGCTGCTAACGTAAGCTCCTTATCGTCTCATCGCAGCCTTCTTGCGAGCCCAATGAAAGTGCTACCACTTTCATCGCTAATTATATATTTCCGAGGATAACACACATTGAAATGCACAACAGAATCCATGTATATCCATGAATATGTATCGTTACTGAGTGAAGAGTCATTGCTGGCATCTTGGCTTAACCTGATACCCACGTCTATTTGTGAGTCTGGATTAAAGGGGCCACTTCTTACCCATGTTCTGCTGTTGAACGCTGGTCAACGTCTTGTCCACCATTAGGATCGCCTTACCACTTTCCATATTCTGCTCCAGAAATTCCTTGTACATATTCGTCATCTGCGAAGGTGGAAAAGGTGAAGTATCCAGCATTTTAATTACATCAACACGAGGTTCCACAAGGTCTAAAGAAGCCTGAAGCACATCGTGCGAATCTGATGCCTGGCAGGCTTCATGAAACAAGCTTATGCTGCTGCACAATCTGCTGATATTTATTGGCTGCTCCTACTGCTGCTGCACAACTGGCATGTAGAGAGTCGCAATCTGCAAATTTTAAATCAGGACTCACTGGTAACACTATTCTGTTCCATTACCACTCCTAATTCGCTGATTGCCTTTGTGGGCAAAATAGACCGGGTAGAAGGAGGTAACTTAGACAAAACAACTGGTGAAAATCACACACGCAGTCACACCCAAATACAAATTAGATTATGAACTGTAATTGAGGTCGTAAAACCTACAATCTAAGCTTCAATTTCTTGCTCACGTCACTGATAACAGAAGGGTCTGCACAATAGGGAGCTCCTAGAGAGGGTATTTTTGACTTACACTTCGATACTGGTCAGAAATCTTGGAATTTATGGGAGTACTCATCCTGAACTGCACCACACACAACCTGCTGTTTGACTAACTGTGGCGTACCTGTTAATACTGCTGGGTGGACAGAGGCATTAGGTGGGAACTTAAGAATATTGAATCAAACCAGTGACCTTAATTTTCTGGAAAACTTCAATGTTATGCATTATGTAAAATTAGTGGAGTTTAGATTTTCCACAGGCATTGAGTCATGTGAAAGAGCATTGTATAATGTGGAGAGAGAGACAGACAGACAGAAAAAACTAAACGTTTTATTTTACCAGGTAAGGCCCACTGAGCTATATATCTCTTTTTTCGAAACGACTTGGCCAACAATGATAGCTCAATGAAGTGGCTTATCATGAGGAAATGTATATCAGCCAAATACTCTAAATGCATGTTACCAGGTAGCTAACATCTCACCACCACGGCGCACAAAATACTATGGACAGAGTTTGTCTCATTACAATGCTTTATTGTTACGCTCGTGATTGCACTTCAGGTCGATATCAAACGATTCTGTATTTTCAAAACCATCCTGAATGAGTTTTCTTTACTCAATGGATTCGTAAGGGGTCATATAGAAGAACATAGACGACACTTCAGAAGTGGGATGAACTCACAGCCTATGGAGACGCTGACTAAATATGTGTCTAGTAAAAAACACGTATAGGACAGGTGTCCATGCTGTAGACTATGTGCTCTCTCTTGGCGGCAGATTAATCGTTTCTGTGCTTCACAAATACTACACCATTCCTGCACTATCACCATAGGCTACATGCAGTCCACTTCCTGCACCACTACAAATGCATGGCCACCATCTTGAGAAATGTATTGCATGCCGACTGGAGATAATTGTGGTATGAGTGACTTCTAAATGCTCCGACTACATTGAGCTCTTACAGCATCGTCATAATGAACCTGAGGAGGGTAAAGTACTGAAACGATTTGGACCATGACTCAATGTCATAAGGGGTTGAATTCGGAGAATCACAACAAAGCCAGACTAGGACGTCTCTGGATACATTGGCAGTGTCTTAAGGCCACCGACAAACGCGACAGGATGATGATGGGCCGATGATGATCACATTTGTACTCTGGCGCCAAGATAGTGAAGGAAATTCCAAGCTTTGTGGCTGGAGTGTCCAAAGTTAATCTCCTCAACTGTTTCTTGTCATTGCTGTGGTCTGTCCGAATTTAGAGCCTCTAATAGTTCCGATGCCTTTGTATCATCGCCAATTCCTTTGAACATTTTCAGGAGTGTATCGCTCTCCAGATTCCAGCATGGAGTGTATTGCTTTCGGTAGCCTCTGGGGATGTTGTTGTTGGCTGTTTTGTTGGCGGTGACAAAAACGTTGTAGTTATGCAGTAAAAGATTGATGGTTTGGAGCGCAATTTCTGTTTCGGCCTGGAAGGCCGAGCAGTTTGTCTTCCGGAAGTTCCAGCGAGCAACTGGATTGTATGTGACTATTAGAGTTTGAAGCCCGATGTGGATTACTAATGGCCAGTATTGGCTTCTGGGAAACCGTCCTAGGATTTTCCTCATTGCAGAAAGCGGGAGGCCATGGTGATCTTTGGACACAAACAGAGGTCTAGATTCTACCCCCGTTTCCATCAAGCACAGTGGAAACTTCCTCTGTTCATCTCCAGAAACTCAAGCACACAGGCGAGAAGCCGTGCATGTGTGACGAGTGCGGCAAGACGTTTCTTGTGCTCGGCCTACAAGTATTTTTTTCCACTTGTGTGTTAAACTGGGTGTACCCTTGATATTTTAAAAATGGCAAATCTCCTGCTGTGTATCCTACTGCTATCCCTCCCGGCCATATCTAGTGCCACACTCAGCTTTACCACCGGCAACCCTCGTTACTTGTCGTCCATACTTGTTGCTCAATATGCCACTACACCTGCTAATGAAACAGCTTATAGACATTTTTCGATTTAAAGCTTTCGTGACTGCAGGGATTCATCTTCTTGATTCTTTCGGTAAAGTCATGTAGAAGGGAAATAATAAAAATAAAACATAATAAAATAAAATTCTCACGACGTTTCGGCCACAACGCAAGCAGCCGTCCTCAGGTGAAAAACAAGGCTGTTCGGACGCTGCTTTTCCGACAGCCCTGTTCTTCACGTGAGGACGGCTGCTTGCGTTGTGGCCGAAACATCGTGAGTATTTTATGTTTTATTTATAATTATTTTATTATTTTCCTTCTACGTGACTTGACCGAAAGAACCAAGAAGCTTATAGACACTTCTACACTCCATCATTGTATCCTTTTAAACCCTATCTCTGTTCTATTACTTCACCAGCACTCCTTCCAAACTTCATTCTGCTCTTAAAAATATCGCCATCTGTGAGCTGCTGATATTCGTCCCAGGTTCGCCGCTCTTCATCCTTTCACAGAAAATACCTGTGCAACTATTAATTCTACTTTTCTTATTTCTGGGAGGTATTGATCTTCATCCTCGCCCAAATGTAAAGAACTCGTATAATTCTGTAGATTTTTCTGGCAGAAAAGGTGTTGGTGTTCTACACGCCATAATCAGAGGGCTTGTGATTAAATTAAGTCAACAAAAACTAGAAGTGGCAAATCTGGACCCGGACATTTTTTGCCTAACAGAAACATTTCTCACTCCTGCCGTAAATGACTTGCAGATTACGATTGACAACAACAACCTTTTTCGGCTTGACCGGGGGTCTAAAGGAGGTGGAATTGCCATCTATGTTCGTAATACCATTACATGTTCACCAGCTCACTCCTTGTTTAAAAAAAATTGCTTTGAAGGTCTGGCTCTCAGAATAACTCTCCCCAATAATCAACAGATATTGGTAGTGTGCTGCTATAGACCACCTAGTGGTAGGGATGTTGAAGCTGCGTCTGCACTGAGAGAGCTTCTTGGGGGCCTCCCTAAAGGTGAAATAGTTTTAGTAGGTGATCTAAATTGGAATTGGCTAAGCCTGCCGGCCGTGGCCACTAATTTTGCAGATTAATTTAACCTATTTCAATTAATAAATGTCCCCACAAGATCCAACCTAAAAAACCCGGAACAGCCATCTCTGCTTGACGTCCTATTGACAAATGCCCCTCACAATTTCACACTGACTGGTGTTCTGGGTAATAACCTTAGTGATCACTCCTTCATATTTGGGCGAGATCATCAGCCAGATCCAAAGCCCCCCATAAATTGGTTGAGAATCACTCCATGAGACACTTCAGCATACAGGCATTTACTTTGATGTGCTTCACTCGGATATTGACAAGATTTATGATATCCCCAACCTGACTACGGCTTGGGAGACCTTCAGGTACACGTCTCTTCAAATTCTTAACAAACATGCTCCGTTGGTTAGATTTAAAATTAAAGGCAACCGCCCACCATGGTTTGATCCTTTGATTACTAAGCTCATGAAAACTAGGGACAAGGCTTGGGCATGTGCTCAGAAAAGTAATTTGGTAAATGACTGGCTAGAATACAGGATTTAAGGAATAGATGCGTAAAAAAAATACGGCATGCAAAACATGCTTACTTTTCCTCCATTCTCCTGGAATCACATGGCAATGCCAGGATTTTCTGGAAAACAATCAAATGTATCGAAAAGGCATCCAACACAGATAATCTGCCCGTTGCGCTTATCCGAAATGGGGACTATTTTTCAAAGCCCCAAAAAGTAGTCGACAATTTTAACCTTAATTTTTTCTGAAGCTGGTGACCTTTTTAATAATGTATTAGGAGTCACCCCTGCTCATGCAATTTCCTACACCCCTGTCCAAACATTGAACGAATTTAGTTTCCAGCCTATCCACGAAAGTAATGTTCTGAAACAACTGTCCTACCTCAAAGGGTCCTCCTCTACCGGAGCGGATAGCATTCCCGTCGTTGCTATGCTAACTGTTGGTCACCTAATATACAAACATATAGCCCATATTTTCAACCTGTCCATCAAAGAAGCATCAGTACATCTAGAATGGAAACATTCTTATGTTCGTCCACTTCACAAAAGAGGCCCTAAAGATGATCAAAATGACTACCGAACTATCTTAATTTTGTCCCCGTTGACGAAAATTTTAGAAAAATGATTTAACTACCAAATTAGCAGTTTCCTGTCAGACAACAATTTATTACAGTGGTACCTCGGTATACGTCGTCAATTCGTTCCAGAAGGTAGGAATTATACCGAAAATGACGTATACCAAACGAATTTTTCCTATAAGAAATAAAGGGAAAGGAAATAATCCTTTCCAGAGTATAAAAAATTATGCTTTATATGGACTATTATACATTAATGGGGTTGTATCAAATAATTTAGACACTACTTATTACTAAAATGCATACATAAATTAAAATAAATGCATAAATAAATAAAATGAATTGAAATAAAAATTTAATTTAACGTCACTTTACCTTCCTGACAGGAGTTGATAGCCTACGAGGATGGTGGTGAGGAAGGGGAGGAGGAGATGCTATTTTTTGGAACGAGAGGAAGCTGAAATTCTGTTTTTCTCTTTCTCTTTATTGTTTTTTTTTTACTTGGACCTAGTTGAGGCTCACCAGGTTTGAGTTTTACTGAAAACCTGTCTTTTGAAGTTTGATTTTGCCTTCTTCTCAGAATGTTCCTGAAGTGTGACATTGTTTGGTCATTCCACACAGTACTGTTACGGCTTGTTGGTTGAGGAGCGGCGCTTTGTTTCAGTTGTGAGCACCACATCTGCTGCATTAGACTCTCTGAATCACAATTACAGTAGCCTTGATAATAAGCAGTACTATGGCAGTCTTATTCTTGACTTGTCCAAAGCCTTTGATACAGTGGACCACAACACCCTGCTTAGTAAACTAAGTTGCCTCCGTTTCTCCAAACACGTAGTAAAAAGGTAAAAAAAATCCTCTCTTCTCGCACCCAAACTGTATTAACAGATGGTTGGAGGTCAAACAGTGTTAAGATAACAAAAGGGGTTCCACAGGGTTCCATCCGTGGCCCCCTCTTGTTCGTTCTTTATGTCAATGACTTGGGCACTAACCTGGATCATTCCAGGGTACATCCAAGAAAAGACAGCAAAATATTGTACACCCTTAGCTGCAACTGCTATTCAGAATGGCCTGAAATCAAATGTATCATTCCGAATGACCGCTGCAAAGTATGGTCTTGAGTTTTGATTATAGTGTGCTGATCATTCAAGGTGTATAACATTTTTTAGATTCTGCTATTGGTACTACAGCTGTTATGGAGTGACTCATGCAGCCAACTATGGCTGCAAAGTTTGGTCGTACATGTTATGTATATCGTTTATTGTTAAATTTGAATCACAGTTCCTATGATCACTGTTACATTGTTTCTATAGCTTTATTTTGGTAATTTTGAAAACGTTTTGGTTTAGCCATGTTTGTTTTTTGTAGTACAGACTTAGCCTGATAACTTTAATCTACATTGTCTTATGGTTGTTATTGTTTGACTTGCATCCCACTGGGATTTTTGCACACAGCGTTGAAATGCGGTGTTTGTCTGGAAGACTTTGCTGTTTTTTCCAGGATTTGTCTGTTACGTGTAGTCACTTTAAAATGTCTTTTGGTCATGTTTTGTTTTGTTGCGGGTTCACCCGAGTCAAGAGCCACATGGCTCACAGGGTTATACCTAATAAATGAAACTGAAACTGAAAAGGTCATTCGCATATACAAACTTGGGCGATCCGTTTGGCGGCATGTTGCTCAGGCAGGCATTAAAGAGCATTTAGTGCGAGTACTGATTTTGTGGCAATTCATTGAGGAACAAGGGTGAACTGGCTTTGTCTACCATAAAGACGGACAATCGCCTATTTCTTAGCATCTTCCATATCAGGCACATTGATTAGAGGCAAGGAATGGTCATTGTGAGCTTCAACATCAAGCTCTTAATCTACACTGTGTCGTAGGCCGATGACAAGTCCACAAAGGCTGTACCAGTCTTGGATTTATTATAGAATCAGAAATCAATGTACTTTGCAAGGACCAAAACTTGGTCACAGAAGCTGCATCAAGGCTGGAATCCTGCTTTTTTCCCAGTGATCACTGACTCCACGAGCGGGCAAATTTTCTGGAGGATGTTGCATTCCAGAAGTGTTTCACTCGTGTACAAGTGTACACACCTATAGCTTCCCGGATTGTAGGTTGGCTTGTCCCGTTTGGGTATTGTAATGACTATAGCCTGCTGCCATGCATTTGAGATGCATCCGGTTTTCATTATTTTGATGTACATGTTTGCCGGCCATTGGAGTCCCCTGGGGATTAAGTGATGGAGGGATTTTGGGGGGATACCATCTCTGCCAGCAGTCGTGCCTTCATTTCTGGCCAGACCCTCCCTCACTTCATCTGTGCTAATGGTGATGGAATTTTGTAAATAAATTTAAACCAATATCTGGTGTAATTGGTGATGAATTACTTGCTTTATGTTTGTGTTGAACGTTTTTCTTATGTTCTCCACTAGTTTGGAGGCTATTGAGTTTGTAAATCTGACACTCAAAGTGCCCTACCAGAGCAAGCTCTGTAGCATTTCTATACTTGTGTAATGTAGCTCTCAGAGATACCGTCTTGTTCAATTATATGTATATTTATTATGAATAAAGTCCGCTGACTCACTGATAACTTAACGAGTAACTGCGAGTTACTATATACGCTTGAGTAACTTAAATAACTCTATTTTGAGACAACAGAACTCTAGCCTACCAAAACTACAAGATGCCCACTCCAGGATGATGAAGACGACCCGCTCCAAGGTGACGGCGGCGACGGCGATTCCCCACAACAACAGCTCAGCGCCCCGGTTCTTGCTGGCTCTCATCCCCCTCACGACCCGGCCACGCCCCTATTCCAGAACTCTCGCTCACCACACCAGGCCCTGTCTGTCTCTGCCCTTATTACAATTTACGACCTTTAGGTCCAGTGATTCCCCCCACGCGACCTTGTCAACCTTGTCCCATCAATCATTATTAGCAACCACTTAGGTCCCACATTACCCTAATGTGACCCTGTCTGTTCCTGTTACGTTAATTAGTAACCATGGTCACGGGGAGTGTACTGTCCCTTCATTATCCCGTACTATCCTTACACTAGGAAATCATAAATATTTCCAAACATTTTTATTGCAAAGATGTGGCCACATTTCAACAAAGTTACAAAGCCAAAGTGACTTTCTACCTAAATGAGCATTAAGGCAGTGCTCATTTTCTGCTTACAATGCCGAGTCAGTGGTTTAAATTACACATTACTCTGAATCAAGTATATTATTTTGGTTTAAATTACACATTCCTCTGAATCAAGTATATTATTTTGGACTGAGATGGACTGAGACAGCCATCAAACATGATTTTGAGAGACGCTTTCTATTTTGCTGAGCTACCTGGCCAGTTATGATTTATTGAGTGCAATTACAAGCATTGCTTCATTTATCTGCTTTCCTTGCTGGGTCCCTCTCATTCCCTCATTTGTAATTCTGCACTCTGGGACATTGATTTCATTATTGGTGCTTTATATATGTTGTTGTTGTGGCAAGTCACCTCGTCTCCGAGCCCTGTGGTCTCAAAGTAATCCTCTTCAATCTTCTTCATCACAGCCTGGTATTTCATGAAGCCCCCAGGCTGCATGAAGTCCTGGTACTGCTCATCTACCAGCCAGTACAGTTCTTTGAGTCGTATTCTGCACTTTTCCTGCGATTGCTGCTTGTTGTGTGTCACCAAACTCACACACATTTTCTCCATGTGCTCCTGTAATAATAACAACAACATGCATTGCCGGTGATGATCCTGGGCTGTTGCAATGGTGTAGCATAGTTAATATGGCCCCTGGTGCAAGGAATACAATGGGAGTTCCCTGACCAATTTCACTCAGCCTTTCAACCACCCACTCAATCTCTCACCCAGTCACATACTCATCCACCAATTTACTTGCTCACCCACCCACTTAGAATCCTAATAAAAATGTTTATTTCAAATGGAAGAATCCGATGAGATATGAAGCTTTTTTTTTACATATGTCCAATAGGGGCAGGTCAGAAAGTTACAACAAACAATATAAAACCGATAGTGCAAAATATACGAAAGCTTTGCAAGTCACTCAATATACATAAAGAGTAAATAAAGTATATAAGTATGATACTCTTAGGTTTTTTCGGTAAAGTCACGTAGGTTTAAAAATAATAATAGACATAAAATAATAAATCACGACGTTTCGGAGGCAAGACAAGTCTCCGTCATCAGGTGGGACGGTCACAGCTAGATTTACTGTCTCAAGTGATTATTATTTATTTGTACTATTTATTTTTCCTACGTGACTTTTTCCGAAAAAACCTAAGAGTATGAATCCTTGCAGTCACGAAAGCTTCAAATCTAGAATATATAAGTATGAATTGCATAAGTACATAAATGCCTGCCGATCGTTCAACACCAAATGCCATCTTGGGCAAGGTACTTAAATAAAAACAGCCCCAGAACACACCAAAGCAACACAGTCCATCAAATTTACTCAGCGACCTGCTCACTGTTCAATTATCTACTCACTGACTCAACCACTCACACACATACACATAATTACCCACTCACTCATACACTCACCCACCCATTAAATGTTTCACTTGCTCAATGATTTACTACAGCACTTAAACACGTAATCTTCAATTCTTAGGTTTAAATGATCATACGTTTTCACTTAGCTATTTAAACAAATGCATCTCAATACTGTGCAATTCACAAACACACAGGTGCATAATTTGAGACATTTCTAGAAAATTAATGAGTATTTCTACATGTGGGACAAAACCAGTGCTCCCAGAGAAAACCCACAGGTGTCAGGGGGCAAACCTCCATTCCATGAAGATAGGATAGATGAAACATAATCTTATATAGATGTGTAGTGTGGTTAAATACGTGGCACATACTGTTAGCCGAGGGCAACGAAGGATAGACACGTGCGCGTGTGCAACACGAGATTGCACGGGCAAACCACCATCTAATTTGGAAGAGTAGCTGCTGCAGACCAGGTCAGCCTGGGGTTGCACGCTGACACTGGAGGTGTTGCCAGGGAGACGTGTGATAAGGGGTGATTGATGGCGTGACAGGCGCTAGCCTGTCTGACCATAAAGAGACACAACGGAGGAGCTGGATAATTGGGAGGGGGATATAAAGACGTGCGTGAGAGCGGAGCAGGAGTTCGTGTTGCTGGGAACCAGAGAAAGAAGACCTTTCATCGCTGCCGCTCAAGCCGGGAATGGACCTCAACCCTCACGAGTCGCCGGGCGGGTGATGGTTGATCCCACCGCCCAGGACAGATGAGTGAGTGGGTCTTAGGGAGCATAGGTGAGGGCAGCGGTGGAACGGGGGTGTTGTGTGAGAAGCTGCGTGCAAGCCTATGTGTGAGAGCTGTGTGCAAGCCTCTGTGTGAGAGCTGCTGAGCACAAGCCTCTGTGTGAGAGCTGCTGGGTGCAAGCCTCTGTGTGGGAGCTGTGGTGTACGAAGCCTTGAGTGCGGAGCTGCTGAGAGCAAGAGCTGTTGTGTGCAACTTAGTGAGGTGTAACATAGATAGGGGGAATTGGTTAACAGAAATGACTGTATAGACAGTGATAGGAGTGCCTACGACTGGTGCAAGAATAGGCTAATAAAGTGTAAGTAGGTGACCTGTTACAACGTGTCAGTCTGAGTGATTTTACAAGACACTACAGATGTATCAAGTGCTTTAGTCCCATTCACTTCAATATTAATAAAATTGTACATACAATGATCGTGGTTATTACTAAAAAGTGGTGTAGTTATGGTGACAGGACAGATGAGAGTGGTTAAGGATGGGTAGTGCTAGGAGTAGTGATAGGCCAAGTGGTAGGCCTAGTGGCAGGCCTGGTTATAGCTGGGATAGCGGGAGTTAGGGAATGGAAGTAGGATGGGCTCGGGAGAAGACATGGGGGTTGTTTTACGGGAGAAACAGAAGGTGATTATGGTGAAGATGATTGCTCTGTGTGCTGCAGTGGTAGTTGGTTCCATTGAAGGGGAGCAAGAAGGGAACAGGAATGAGAGCGTGACTGGGCACAAGGCGAGGGAGGCACAGAGAGGGACAGTAGAGATTGGAAGTGTAGAGGACAGGATGGGGCAGAGTGAGATAATATAAGAGTATTGCACCTGCGACGGCGAAGGTAAGGGAGTTGCAAAACATGTGTGCGATCCACCAAACCTTGCCTCTGTAGTGCTGGATTATAGGCATGCATAGTCACCCAGTTCACCCATACTCACCAGCAACTCCTTCTCGTGCGTGTGCTCCCAATCGAGCACAGCGTGACCGTAGAAGAGATCCAGAGCTTTCTCCATACACTTCTCGTGGTGCTTGTAGAGCTGACAGGTTTTTAGTGGAAAGTCGACTAAGATGCTTTCCAACTCCTTCTGGTAGAGTCCCTTGGCATCCTCCACTACCTGCAGGTTGGCGAGCTGCACCACCTGTACCCGTGTGTTCTCGATGCAGACCATGTCACCAGAACGCTGCGCCTCAATGTACATCCCTGCAACCTGCAAGAACACTGATACATCATCATCATCAGCTGTGACTGATCCACTGCAGATGCCACCTCTCATGATCCTGTGATGTAAGCCATACCTGCATATGAGATGATCTCATTGCGCCATATCCTCGATGGACGTCCTCTCAGACACGTTCTATTTCTTGGCCGCTACCCCACTATTCTCGATCATCGGCCTTCCTATCTTCTTGGGATTGTCCTAACCAAGCCCATTTACTTATGTTATCAACGTGATGTCACCTAACTTGTGTATGTTCTTCTGCATGTAATCCCAAGCACGTATCTCTCTATCCTTCTTTGTGCCCTTTTATGTTTTTGTCCAGGTCTTTGAACCGTATGTCACAGCCAGAAGTACACGTATTGACAATTTATTTCGTTAGGCACCTCCAATTAGCACATGTGTATGGTACAAAAGAAGTACAAAAATCAATGTTACTTTTGATTATCAAGGTCAATTTTCGAAAGGCACTGCAACCTGATCTCACCCGATTCTGTATTAGATTTTTTTTTATCCTGGCCCGCTTTTAATAATTGGTATATAATATTCTGCTGTATTTTTAAGTCTTGTCCCTCTGATAGAAATCTTCGATTGTTTAGCGAATGCCCTTTATGACATTCTATATACTGAAAAACTCCTGTTTAATTATTAATTCAGATGTATTGCACTATGCTTATAATGCCTGACTTACAATCATACGGCCGTTTTGGGTCAAGCTTTTGCCCCGAATGATATATAATTTCGTTATTTTCATCATAATAAGACGCTAAAGATAATAACACACACCCCAAACCATGGGGTATTTTGGAGAAAAAAAATGTGCTTTAATAATCGTTTTCAACTACTATGTAGAGAAGCCTACTAAAAGATAATTATGAACATGCTTACTGTTTTAAAACAGGGAACAATATTATTTGAAATATTATTCTGAACAACTCATTAAAACAGAACTCACAAAAGACAAAATGTATTTTCCAAAATTATAAGGCACACCCTCAACTTTTGCTGCACGTGAAAATCGTGCTATGTTGTGGGAGAGGAGTTGCTACTTGAGAGACTGCTCTTTGTAGTGAATATGCAGCATTTGCACTGCTGTCTCAAGGTCACGAACAGAGATGAAAATTACTCATTCGACCAGGAAAACAGTGGACCTGATTGAGCATTTGTTTTCACGATGTTGTGGAAACCCAGCGCTATAGAGGCTTGGGTTGGTGGGTCATACTAATTCGTGAAAAGACATCCCTTGACTCGTACAAGAAGAATCGAGAAGCCATTAATTGTGGCAGCAAAACGCGAACTCTGTAGTAGGTTACAACTCAGTTCATGATTGCATTATCTCAGTACGTTTCCAATCCTAACCAATTAAACATCACCATTGCGCCGGTCTACGCACCCACCTGAACGTCTGAGGCAGCTGACATTGATGATTTTTTTTGGGAAACTTCAAGAAACAATCGACAGCACAGCAAAATGTGACATTCGTTGTCATGGGAGATTGGAATGCAAAAGCAGGTGACATGCGGACAACTTGGATAACTGGACAGCATGGCAGATGGAGAGAATAAACAGAGAAACTGTATAAGCAACATGAAAGCATGAACTAAATGTTTGATGCAGGAGAGTACAAACAAGAACCTACTGTGATTAAGTGGGAAGTACGAAAGCCCTGAAGGAACTTACAAACAAAGCCCCAGGAGGAGATGCCACACCCATTGAGCTCATCAAGGGAGCAGAAAATGTGGCTATTAAGATACAGTTTTGTGCCAACAGATTTGGTCTAGCAGTGAAGTGGCCTAGCGACTTGAAGAGTGCAATCTATACCTAAACATAAGAAAAGCGAGCCCAGAGAATGCTTTAACAATCGTACTATAGCTTTCATATTCAATACCAGCAAGGTTTGGCTGAATATTATTCAACATCAAATTAAGAGCTATGTAGAAAGAGAACTACCGGATGTCCAAATAGGCTTCAGGAATAGAAGAGGAACAAGGGACCAAATTGTAAACATCAAGTGGATAATGGATAGATAAAACGAATACCGACAACAGCTGTACCTCTGCTTCATTGACTACAGCAAAGCTTTTTAGTGTGGAAACCATGAACTGATGTTAATTACAATGAAGGAAATGGGAATCCGAACTCACCTTGTATGCCTGTTACATAACCTATATGCCAACCAAAAAGCAATGAAATACATGTTTTTTTGAGTTAGATCGCGTAAACATATAAATCCATTACCACCCGACAGAGCCAGTTCGTAAGGTTTGTCACGTAAACAAAACATATCAATGTGTTACGAGTACAGCACACCGGTGGGTTGGAGAGCAAAGCCACAACATTTACAAATCTGAGTACGACGTTTAAAAAAGCAACAGTTTGGGGAGACATGAGAAATTGATCTTGAGTAACACAGGGCTGTATATGGTCTCCATACCAATTTAATTGATAAATTGAGCATATTATGAGACAGGCAGGCTTGGATTCAATTGAGGCAGGCATGAAGCCATATTATTAACATTCCTTCCCTTTATTAATTCTAATCTTACTCCCTCCCTTTGATACTGCTAATCCTGCATAATGCATGGCATAATGACTTTAAACCCTTGGCTAAACCTCCTACGCATTTCACAAGTAGTACTAATCGCATATCTGTATTTCCCATAAATATGCTAAATTCCTCTTGATATGAAAATTATTTTGTCAAGACGCTCTTCGTCCCTCCATCCCAGCATAAATAGTCGCTCCAAGCCTGGGGCGTGCCATAAAGACTCTGCCTTCTCGACAGACCTGTTTTCCACCTGAAGACGACTGTTTGCGTTGTGGCCGAAACGTCGTGAGAATTATTTTATTATGTTTTATTTTTATTATTTTATTATTTTCCTTCTACGTGACTTCACCGAAAGAACCAAGAAGATGAAGATGACTGCTTAATATGGAGGGGAAGTTTGTTCCAGTAAAGGTGGGAGAGATGAGACTCAGTGAAAACGTGTTTGAACACTAGGAGGAGGAACAGAAAGAGACAAAGATTGAGAACATAGAGGGTGAGACAGGAGTTTTGCAGCAGAGGTTGAAATAAGCAGTCGGATTTTGCGAATGTTTAATATATGAAACCGGCAAGTGCAGGTAGTGGCAGAAATGTGATCAGAAAGGGAGAGGAAAGAGTAAACAATATTACCAAGGTTGCGGGCTGAGGAAATATAAAAGGAGGGAACGAGATGGTGGGACAGGGAGGAGGGGAATAAGCGGCATGGAAATATAATTTGGGGTTTGGAAGGGTTCCATACTCTATGGTTATTTCGGTAAAGTCACGTAGGTATAATAAAAGAAAAAATAATATATCACGACGTTTCGATCGCAACACAAGTGGTCGTACTCAGGCATACAAAATAATCCGGCAGTGGAACTGCTGAACCAGCGAGAGAGCTGTTCCAACAAGAGGTTATATATGTGGCCCACTGCATCTCCAACCAGCGCCACCAAGCCAGTAAACAAGAGCACGTACACCATGCCCTCAAGACGAATGGATACTCAGACCGCACAATCCGCAAAGCTGTATCCCCAATCATGGGAAGACAACCATCTGAGGACCCAATCAAAACCATCACCTTGCCATACATAGCAGGTGTTACCAAAAGGATTTCCAAAATCTTAAACAAACACATCCATGTCAGATTCAATACTGTACACAAAATCCTGATTTGATCCCATCTGTGAAGGATGTCATTCCTGACATGCAATATCCTGGAGTCTACAAACTGAGTTGTACCTGCGGTAGCAGTTACATTGGGGAAAGGAAACGACATGTCTCAGACCGTGTTCGCGAACACAAGGCAGATTTGAAATACAGCAGAACCAATACCTCTGCCGTGGCTGATCATTGTTATAACGCAGTGGGCTCGCACAATATTGTTTTTTCCCGAGACCAAGGTACTCTGCAAACCTTCGGGCTACCATCAAAGATTTGTCCATGATATATAAACACAGAAACAATTTCAACCGAGAAGATGGGTATAAGCTGAGCAATCATTGGAAGGACGTTATTAATCAAGCAAAGTCATAACTTTATGTGGTGCTTCCAATCCTCCCTGCCGTTTGGCTGTTATCTCCGACTCTCTGTGTTGCATTGCCCTGTTAGGTGCCTCTGCATTAACGGGCTGGGGTCTCACTAACATGGCCACCTTTGCTCCCTTAGCCTCGATGTATCGATAGTTCTGGCTGTGTGATGGGCTGTGCATCTCACTGGCGTGACCACCGTTGCGGTGGTTCCCTTGCGTGGACGCGCTTGCCTCTCACAGCGCAGTTGGCAGCGCCGCAGCTTGTGTTACACAGAGACATGACATAAACTTACTAATCCCCCTAATCTCTCTGCCTAATCTCTCCCATCAACATAGTGCTAATCTGCCATTAACGCTGTTGTTGTGCTCATATGCAGGGACGTTACTCTTATGCGGCGACGGAAGCTCATTTCATGTTAATTTCTCTCCCTAATCTCTCTCCCTAATCTTCCCCATTAACAACTGACATGCCTTTCCAGCTCAGACCCCACCTGCTTGCCCTTTGCCACATATATAACCTCTTGATGTAACAGCTCTCTCGCTGGTTCAGCAGTTCCACTGCTGGATTATTTTTTCAGCCTGAGGATGACCGCTTGTGTTGCGATCGAAACGTCGTGATATATTATTTTTTATTTTATCTTTCTACCTACGTGACTTTACCGAAAAAACCAAAGAGTAATTTCTGCAATCACAAAAGCTTCAAATCAAGATTGTTTGGAAGGGCTGTTGGACAGAAAGTGACGTGACATCCAAAATTGGATGGATACCAGACAGGATGAGATGCGATAAGTGGGGTCATGGGAAAAGGAAGGAAAGGATAAGAAAATCTTAATTTAATCCACGAAGGAATAATGGGGAAAGTTGAGCGAAGAAAGGAGAAATTAGAGTGGTGAAATAGAGAAACTAAGTTTAAACCACCAACTCAAAAGAGCTGAAAGCATGGTCATATAGACCACGTCGATCTGTCCGTCCAAAGCAGGTCTTAGTGAAACAAAGAGACTGGTTTCATCCTCATTGGGAGTCATCAGTGCAGTAATCTATTTTCACTTTCATGAAGGAAAAATGTAGTGTGTATTTAGCTGAGCTTACGCTGTCCCGTGAGGATGACTCCATCAATGTTCTTGTACTTGACCTCCTGGTGGATGTGGGATGTGAATTCATTCGCAACCTCAAGGAAGCCAGGTTTGAGATCTTTATCTGGAATGGTCTCCAGCTTGCTCAAGTCTTCTGGGTTGACTGGCATGGGGAACGTGAAGCACTTGCGCTTCTGTAAAACAAACAAAAAGAACAAAAATAATAGATTTAACCCCTATGGCAGAGCATGTTTTGTTTGCATGTTGTCCACAAATACGTGTGATTAATGCAAACTTAATTCCTTGAAAAACGTATCTAGTTTCTGTTGAAACATCTTAACACCGAATTTATTGCCAGAAGGGATAAAACCTATTCTTATTTTTCAAAAATAACATCTCATTATAATATTTGTCTTTTCACAAAACACATAACAGTATTTTCTTTCACACACACAACCCATTGGCCAAACAACCTCAGAGTGCATCTTATCAGCAGCAAGATGGATGCCGGTGTGGATGCCGTGCCAGGCATCTCACGGCTTTCCCCCTCCTTGTCAGGCGCCCTTCTCTTTCCCTCATCGTCACATGGGGCCCCCTGAAATGTTTCTTGGCGAATCGGCCTTATAACCGAGTCCTTTAACATCGACCTCTACTGGCCGCCGGCAGGGTCGTGTCCATGTGCTGTCCACTGATGGTCTACAGATGAGGTCGCGGCCTCCCCTAGGGCTCTCTGAACCTGGAGAAGCATTCTGGAAGAGACCCCTTAACAGCTACTCACCTACAGACAGAACCGTTAAGTCCTGCCCGGGAGCCAGCAAGAGGAACCCTTCCTGTGAGCGCCGACGCATTTGTCAGTGGCTGCCGCAGGTTTTCTGAATGCCCAAGGGCCTACCCGAGGGAGAAGTCTGCAAGTGCTACCTAGCAGAAATCGCCTTCATCGGCAGGGCGCTGGGAAGAGCTGCTACCAGGGTCTCAGGGCTAAATTCCGAATTATTTACTGGAGTCCCATCTAATTTACCAATTTGGGAACTGTCGCAACGACATCGACTTATGCAATTGTGGCATGAACTTATATTTCTGTAATTACTGCAACATCTCGACCTCCACAGCTACTTTAGCAACAGTTATGGTGACCATTACAACTATTTCAATGGTCTTTGTGGCAGCTACTGCAACCAACTGCTGTTGCTGTGGCTGCTTCAACAGCAATGATTAAAATCAACTACTACTACACATACTTCTGTGTGCTACTGCTTCAGCATAGTTTGCTACAGTTGCTCTAGGAGACGGCTTTATGCCTAATGTGTATTGGTTAATTTGCTTCTCTCCCTGTTTCTCTTCTTAAAGTCTCCCTTCTTAAAATATCCTTTCCTGACTCACTCTATCTCGCTATTCTATATACCACTTCCCTAACATAGTGCTCTCATAACCTGACCTTCCTGTTCCTCTTCTAATTCCCTGCGATGTAGGGTCACCTTTTTATATAATCGACTAGCTGTACTATCCGGCTTCGCCCGGGACTTGTATCCACCACGGCCGGCCGCCTTTGTCTCCCCAGTGGCGATGTTAATACGCCACACCAGTTACTCGTTTGAGGCTGAGTCGACCTAGGGGAGGTTCAAATAATCGTCACCGGTGGTGGCCGTGAGCGGGAATGGAACTCGGTTCGCCGGGTTTGTAGCGCAGCGTAGCGTTAACCACTACACCCACCGCTCCTCACACACCACACACGCACAGACACACACACAGACACACACACAGACACACGCAGACACACACAGACACACACACACAGACACACAGACAGCACGCTAACCACTACACTACCGCTCCCCACACACCACACACGCACACACACAGACACACACACACACAGACACACACACACAGACACAGAGAGCACGCTAAGCACTACACTACCGTTCCCCCTACACAACACACGCGCGCGCGTCCATAGGTACACATACACGCGCTTGCTGCAGACACACACGACTGTCAGGGTGCGTACGGCAGTAAACGACTGAAAAAAGAAAGCGGCAATGCTGCGCGAGGAACGCCTTAGACCTGCAACACATTTGTGTAATGCGAGCGTAAACACACAAACACATACACACACATACATACACACACATACATACACACAGACATACACACAAACACACACATACATACACACAAAAACATAGACAATACACACACACATACATGCAGACACACAGACAGACACATAACACACATACATACACGCAGATACATACACAGAAACACATACACACAATACATAGACACACACATACATACACACAAACACATCCACAGACGTACATACACACATACATACAGACACGCAGACATACACATAAACACATAGAAAAAAACCCACATACATACACACACACATACATACACACAAACACATACACACACACATGCATACAGACACACAGACATACACATAAACACATACACACATACACATGACCCGGCTTCGCCCGGGACTTGGATCCAGCACGCCCGGCCGCCTTTGTCTCCCCAGTGGCGATGTTAATACGCCACACCAGTTACTCGTTTTGAGGCTGAGTCCCTCCCTCGCCACTCTGCCTCCCTCACTACTCTGTAGAGGACGTGAAATTTGTATGAATTTACCTCAGAGTGGCGTGGTGGGTGTCGAGGCCTAGCACCGTGCAGAGCCTCCCACCTCGCCTGATTTTCCCACCCGGCGAACGCTGGGTACGGGTGGCGTTCCTTCCCCCCGCCCCTAGCGCTCGAACAATACTGTGAAATGGCTATTATTTAATTATTTACGGAGCCTATGAAAGTGGCGAAGGCGTGGCTAGCCGTTGGCAGGGGCAACCGCCGTCCAATGAAACTGCAGCCCTTGGCGAAGGCGTCGCTAGCCGTTGCCAGGTCCAATGAAAGTGGCGAAGGCGTGGCTAGCCGTTGCCAGGGGCAACCGCCGTCCAATGAATGTGCGTATGGTCCGAAATACACACACACACACACAGACGGACAGACAGACATTCACGATTTTATATATATAGATAATCAGTTAGCAAGCTGCTAGCCTTGCTCCTACTCATAGGTGGGATTGAATGTAACCTTGGGTGTACACCATGTCTTCCTCTGTATTCTCATTTAGTGCTTCTGACTTTGCTAACCATTCTGGCTTGGGCATTCTGAACTTTTATTGTCTCTCTAAAAACTGGACATTCTCAATTGAAATAGATAACCTCTGACTAGACATAGTATGCATCACTGAAACTTGGCTTTCGTCTGGGAAGAACACAAACTCACATGGTATTGATAACTTTACCTTTTTTGACTTGACAACCCTTGAAGAAAGGTCATGATATCCTCATCTATGTACGTAGCGACATTGCACTTTCTTAATAGAGTTTTTTTGGGTTAGATCGCGTAAATATAAGTGTGTCGTTAAACCACCACCACCGACACATCCGATTACTAAGGGTTTGTCACGTAAACAAAACATGCCAATTCATTACTAGTTCACCATTGTGTTGGAGAGTAAACCCAAAATATTTGAGTACGACATTTCGCCGGTAATTACAACCAGCCTTATCAAGGCAACAGCCGTAGTTGTGGAGAAATCCTCCTGTTTTGGTCTTAAATAGAGGGATACATGTAATGGCATCACTTGTGAGTCAATTAGGTGCAAAGACCAGGGGGGGTGGGGTTAATGTGTTCATATAAATTACAATGGATATATTATTGGTTTGGTTATTCACAGTTAATTAATGTACATTATGCATGTACATTATGTATGCACATTGTTGTATATATATGCCGTTTTTCAAAAATTAATATTAATAATAATTCTGCCAATATTTTTTAAAAATAATAATCAATCGGGGTGTCGCTTGGGGCACAAAGGGGGTGATGCGAACCCCCTCCCCTCAAACAGCAGCTGCCTCCCACAAGCCACACCAGCAAGGAAGTAACCATTAAACGTAATAAAAAAAACCCGGTGCAAAAGGGGGAGGGGGGATTGCTAATGAGATACTGGGGAAATCTCTACTGGGCTTCAAAGGCCGCCACAAAGCACATACAAACAACAGGCGCCACGATCCTTCCCGGGCGGTGAGAACCGAACACACATCTTTGTTTTGGTTTCTTTGAGTACAACAATAAAAGTTTGAAGCTTGGCTATAAGAATACGTCGACATTATAGACTGCACTCAGATTAAGAGCCAGGCTACAATCTACATTATTGGGTTATCATTTCTCGTATATTATTTAATATTATTCATTATTTTTTTATTATTATTCTTCTATCTACGTGACTTTACCGAAAGAACCAAATAATGAATTCTGGCAGTCACGAAATTTTAAGTAAAAACTTAGTTACATCTCCAATCTCAGGATATCAAAATATACCTCGAGAATAAAAAGCACGGAATCCCTGGATACAGACAGGGAACAAAGGTTCATAAACCCTCGGAATACATGTGGTAACAACTATGGTAGATCACAAATCTTGGTTAAACATAAACCAAATAATAATGATACAGTATTACACCGAGGGTCATCCAGAAGAAATACAATACGAAACAGGTCAATCGCACACGACCAAGATAATATGTATTCCATGGAATAAGAGCCTCCCGACCGCCTTTGTCTTCCAGAAGCACGTGGTAGCAATAAATCACAAATGCAGGGAGGGCGCCTTCCCTTAAGATATCAAACACCACGAAGAAATTCCAAACCACGCGTACTGTAAACACTGCTCAAAACATACCTTGAGTCACTTAAAGAGTTAACACCGCAAAAAGGGATAAATACTAAGATAAAAGGTGGAAAATAATGTTTCTTTTTCTCTCACCTTACAACCCATAAGAATGAACGGAAAACATGGTAACAGGAGGTCACACTTCAAGAGACGGTGCCCCTCTTTGTGAGAGACAAGAAAATGTAACACCTCCAACCGGGAGGGAAGAGGGGAGGGGGGCACGCAACTGGACAGGGGGAACCCCCCTCCTTCCAGATTAATTATTGCAGAGGGTTGGAGGACTGGAAGGACGCACTTGGGGGCAATTTGGAGCATCTATTTCCACTGATGGTGGGTGGCTTGAGGAACGGGACGGGAACCGGGCCTTGATGAGACTCAATAAAATTAGTACAAACACACACACACCGGACAAACAGCTGTTCCCACAGGCTGAGAGCGAAATTAAAGGAATTTCTGTCCGTTGTGAGAAGGCGAGCCGAGGTGGGAGAATTTCACATATAAGCAAGGACACAGATCATGCAACTTAGTCTTGCTGTGGAAAGCTCCGGTGGTGGGCCCCGCAAACAACTATGGATGTAGAGTCTTGCAGAGGAGAGGGGCGATGTGTTACTAGGTGCTGAGTTCGGCGCTGATCGACAGAGTATCGCTGAAAGTTTTATTCTACATTCATCATGATGTTTTGAGTTGCTTGCAGAGTCAAGGATTTCGATAAGTTGTATTGTACAAAGCGATAAGAGTTGTGAGAAGCTAAGAGGTGTGCGAATAAAATTTATGAGTTCTGAGAGTGAGGAGCTGTGAGCGCAATCGTGCACCGCAGGGGAGAGCATGAAGCAGTAGAAAGAGCCTGAACCAGCGCAGCGTGAAGAAAGGGCGGGAGAGGCACCACAGGGGGCTTGCGCGAAGCTAGCAGCTGCCGCCAAGGGAGAGAGCACGGAGCAGCGAAAAATTAACCCGTAAAAACTAAGTTTTTCACTATAAATCCTTTATATGCGTGGCATCGGTTTTATTTTATTATTCATTTCTGTTTTTCTTGAGTAAGAGTTCCATTTTTATCACATTGGTATTTTAAATTAAATATAAGGAAAGTCGTATATAAGGATTATAAGGTTTTCAGTTTTTGTATGATTGTTTATATTGTACATTTTTGTTGTTTTCTTGAATAATTTTCTGTGTTTAGGAAAAATATATGATTGTGTTAGTGAAAACAATTTTTTTCTTAAAAAGTGGAAAATTTTGGAAAAATGTTTTCACGAAAATAAATTGTCACGCACAACGAGTCTGTGTGCAAAATGTCAGCTCAATTGGATCACGGGAAGTGGGTTAAAAAACGACCGAAAGATTTGCACAGTCGTAAACGCGCAAGCAAGTGAACTTAATATAAAGGATTTAAAAAGAGCCCGAATAGAGTAGCAAATAGGTAAAGTGTCAGCGCTTGCGAGAGCACCGAGGGTTCGACCCACACACACATCGACGAGCACCAGCTGGGAACCAAGACAAGAGTGAGGAACGGCGACCAGCGTACGAGCTGCGAGCGCAATCGTGCACTGCCGAAGGAGAGCACGGAGAAGAAGAGAGAGCGCGTGACCGGCGCAACCGAGGAAAAGTGTCGGCGCTGGCGAGCAGTGGACGAGCTGCGAGCGCAATCGGGCAACTTCAAAGACGAGCAACGTGCCTGCAACAGAGAGGCCGGCAGCTGCAGCCAAGAGAGAGAAAGCCGTGTGTGTGACACACACAAACACACACACGACACACTGCCTGGCAGGGAACCCCTTATCTCAAAAAGTGGAGCACGGAAACAATACACCCACACACTCACACGTAACGCACATAGCGAAACTAATAAGATTGCTCCAAAAGTTATCCTTGTGTTTCAAAAAGGGTGGTCATCCAAAGTGGGTGCGTAAACTATTAACTGATGGTGGAAAGCATATTGCTGCCCATTGAGTTACGTAGATATGGTCGTTTATAAGTATTTTAGTCATTCTTCTTCTTGGTTCTTTCGGTAAAGTGTCATCTACATATCGAAACCAAACAGAGGGTTTTAGTGCGCTTGAAGCTCGAGATTTTGCTTCAAAGGCTTCCATGTACAGATTCGCAATTACAGGAGACAAAGGAGAGGCCATTGGCGCTCCTTTATTTTTTTTTACAGAAATCACCTTTCCACAAAAAAATAGGTGTTCTTTAGACAGTGCTCAGCTAGTCATGGGATATCTTTGCGTAAACCTATGTTAGTTACCAGAGTATCGAGTAATTTAATTTACTCGTTCACCGGAACCTTTGTGAACAGAGAAGTTGCATATAACTTACTATAATATCATTAGGGTTAAGGTTAATATCTTTAATTATATTTACAATTTAATTATATTTACAATATGTTCTGAGTATTTAATGGATAAAGAGGTCCTGCCAATGTAGGGCTGTATTTGTTTTGTTACATATTGTGCTATTTTGTATATGGCAGTCTTAATGGGACATCAGGTTTGTGACTCTTTGGCCACCCATCAAGTCTTGGTGGTTTTGACGCCCTTGGTTTGGTCAGGTATAGCTCTTCCTTGGGAGTTAATGACTTGATAATCATTGCAGTCGTCTTTGGCATTGGTTGAGTCTCGTAAATCTCAGATTTTATTATAATTCTCACGAGGATTCACAACAGTTGATAGGCCCTTATCATCAGCAAGAATTTGGATATATTTATTTGCTCTCAATTCTCTTAAGGCGTTTGCCTCAACGAGACGAATATTTGCTTTTGGCAATGTACTGTTCTCAATTATTTTGGCAACCTCATGCCTAGTCATCTCAGCTTGATTGTGGGAGATGTCTAAATACTGATTCCACTACAGAAATTATCTCTCAACAGGGATTGTACGTGGGGTAACAGAAAAATAAATAACTTTAGATAGGATTATCATAGTGTATAATTCATAATGACCAACATAAACATGGAAGATTCCTCCTTAAAGAGAGTCATGAGACGCGGTGAAGATTTTCTGTGTAACCAAGCAAAATAAGGACAAGTAAAGAGTTGAGACTAGGTTAGAGTTTCGATTTAAAGCTTTCGTGACTGCAGGGATTCATCTTCTTGGTTCTTTCGGCAAAGTCACGTAGAAGGGAAAAAATAAAATAATAAAAAGAAAACATAATAAAATAATTCTCACGACGTTTCGGCCACAACGCAAGCAGCCGTTCTCAGGTGAAGAACAGGTCTGTCGGAAAGACAGCGTCTGAATCAGCACTAATTTCCTCTTGATATGCAAATTCCTTTGTCAAGGCGCCCTTCCAACCCAGCTTAAATATACGCTGCCAAGCATGGTGGTGCTCATTCAGACACTGTCTTTCCAACAGACCTGTTCTTCACCTGAGGACGGCTGCTTGCGTTGTGGCCGAAACGTCGTGAGAATTATTTAATAATGTTTTATTTTTATTATTTTATTATTTCCCTTTTACGTGACTTTACCGAAAGAACCAAGAAGACTAGGTTAGAGGTTACGGTTCGGGACAGGAGCGCTTTGACCAATTTCATCACCCCTATCAGTAGGGACAGTCGTCTCGGCCCAATCAAAACAGGTTAAGAACTTATGGATGAATGGGTATTTAATGTCTTTACCTTAAAATATTGGCACATTATGTCGCGCTGCTTGTTGAATGTCTTGTTTGCTTCTTCTTGACCACGTTGTGTCTCTGCCTTGCGTATTTTAAAGCAATGCTCCATGTAGTCGTCAGCAGTGCAAGGATTTCCATTCAACTCCAACGTCAGCATGAAGTCGCGTACACAGACGATGAGGGATGGGAAGTACTTGTCCAGATCCTTTGGGTTGTCTTTATGAGATTCTACCGTTGTTTTGACATACTGCGCAACATCCTTTGCATACCTGGATTAGGGTCGGAGTCAAGAACATTTAATGCAGCAGTGCATCGTACCTTTTACAGAAACGGAGTCATTTGAGATCAAGATAAAAGTTCTGAAAATACAAGACATTTGAAAATACGCCAGTTAAACTCCTCAAAGCCTTTCCACATATGGGGAATGCAGCATTCTGCACATAATTTAATCATTCTTAAATAAAAAGAAGGGATTTCACTGGACGTAGCTCTGGAGGATGTTTGCTTTATTCTTCAAGGCTGATGAGATATGTTGGAAGGGGTGGGAATAGTCACACTTAATTCACTACACGCGACCTGCAGCTCAGCTTCCTGTGGTGTTACCCATTCGTACTGCTGGGTGCACAAAGGCAGTGGAGCTGATTTAATAAACTCGACCCATTGTTTCAAATGCCACACAGGTAGATGAAATCAAAACAAGAACCTCTATATAGTCCAGTGTGCTAACCAATACACAGAGGCAGCTCTATAATTGAGAACAGGTTTTCCTCTTTTTTTCTGGCAACAAAACATGTGTTAAGATCTAGATTTGAAGTTTTCGTGACTGCAGGGATCCATACTGTTTGGTCCTTTCGGTGAAGTCACGTGGGTATAAAATAAAATGAATTAAATCACGACGTTTCGGGCGCTTGTGTTGCGCCCGAAACGTCGTGATTTAATTTAGTTTATTTTATACCTAAGTGACTTTACCGAAATAACCAAAGAGTAAGGTGTTAAGATGTTAAAACACCAAACTGAAACCTTTTACGAGGAAACATGTCTGTATTAACTACAGAATGCAAACACAAAAACATACTCTGATAATATATGGATTGTCTTTGAAACTGATTAGTCCACACCAGAGACAGCTTTCTTTTGAGCCTCGTCTCAAACGGTGTTAGACCAGAGGACGCCAAAAGGCGTACAGCACAAAGACAAGCTGTATCAGTTTCAAGGACAATGCATATATTTTCAGAGTATGTTTTTGTTTGCAGACATGATTCCTTGCAAAAGGTTTCAGTTTGGTGTTTTAACATCTTACCACCTGTTTTGTTGCCAGAAAAAAGAGGAAAACCTATTATCATGTTTTGGTAATGGCAAAGGAGGTCCCATGATGTAGCTCTATAAGTGTTAATTAATTACATTTAAATATTTACACATACATAACATCTGAAACCATGTTCTCCAATAAACTAAATATTTACAACTTACTTATACTTTCAAACATCACTATTGTATAATTGAATCTGAGTCAATGGAGCAGATGCGTTTCTGCGAAATACGGATGAGCTTTATGACGAGCTTGAATAATTTATTTGGTTTATTTGTCAAATAAAGGTAGTGTAAATGTAAAAACTGAGGGAAAGAGTAACTAACAGAGCACGTTGATGACGAACGCGTCCAACGGTACGGGCTCAATGGCTGCATCAGTTACCACGTGGTCTGCGATTTCCTTGCACTCTTTCGTTTAAAAACACATGTTTAAAAATTAAAAACATGTATTTGCTTCAATGCATACATTTTAAAGAAATTAAATGTATTCACATTATTTAAAAGAACGTCCAACAAAGAGTGTAACGACATTAACAGCAGAACACGTGGTAAGCTGATGCATGTAGATTCACTCCAGAACGCCTTAAACATTATGGAAAATATCTACATTAGATCACACAGGGGTTCTGTCACAAATATCACCGGCGTTATATATAAATATTTACTACCACCCCTTAGTTGTTTGGTTCCATCTGACCCTTCTTTGTGCTACTATGCCGCCTCCTGCTGTAGCTCTTTTCCCAGACATTGTTTTACAAATAACTCTCCCTTGCGTGTTGTTACTGTTGTTGATATCAATCTCAGCCAGGCACCGCCTTCCTTTCTGTTTTCATTTTTACTCGTTTGCTGCTATCTCTTTCCGCTAGCCCTCCAATAACTTGTTAAATATTCCCCTTGATCCTAGATGACGGCCGGGGATTCCAGTGAAGCATGTTCGTGACTATCAAATTCCTATTATGTGTGTACTTCGAGTGTGTATTGTTGTTGAAAAGCATAAAAAACTACAGATATCTTTTCCTTTCGTACGGAGAGTAAATTAGTGAACAAACAGGTCTACATTTTCTTGGTTCTTTCGGTAAAGTCACGTAGAAGGGAAATAATAAAATAATATAAATATAAAACAATAAAAATTCTCACGACGTTTCGACTGCAACACAAGCAATCATCATCAGGTGTGAACTCCAAAGCAAGAAAATAAAAAAGTGGCGGTTTTTCTTAACGTCAGCACCACAGACAGCGATTTGGCAGTTGGCCAGATGGACGAGTCCATCTATGTTCGGAAAAGAGGAGGGGGGAGCAGAAAATGGAATGCGGTCTGAAAGTCACCGTAAGCGTGAACACAATAAATTAAGACCCGAAATGGTTTATCAAATCCTTCCAATGATTGCTAAGCCAGAATCAATCTTCTCGGTTGAAATTGTCTCTGTGTTTGTATATGTGAATAGCCTCATGAACGAACCTCTCATGGTAGCCAGATAGCTTGCAAAGAACCTCTGTCTTGGAGAAGTCAACGTCATGTGAGCCTACTGAATTATAACAGTGATCTGCCACGGCCGAGGTGTTGGTCCTACCGTGTTTTAGGTCTGCTTTGTGCTCACGGATGCGGTCAGAGACATGTCGTTTGGTTTCTCCAATGTAACTACTACCACAGAGGCAACTCAGTTTGTAAACGCCAGGGTATTGTATGTCTGGAATCACATATTTTACAGACGGAACCAGATCACGGATTTTATGTAATGTGTTGAATAGGACCTGGATCTTGTGTTTATTCAAGATTTTGGAGATATTTTTTGTGATGCCTGCAATGTAGGGTAAGGTGATAGATTTGAATGGCTCCTCAAGAGGGTCCTTCTTCATGGTTGGAGTGATGGCTTTGCGGATTGTGTAGTCGGAGTAACCATTAGCCTTTAGAACTTGGTGTACGTGCTTGAGTTCACTGGCAATGTGTTCCTGGTCAGAGATGCATTGGGCTCTATGGTGCAAAGTCTTGGTTATGGAATTCTTCTGGGATGGATGGTGGTGGGAATCCGATTTCAGGTAAGCATCCGTATGGGTAGCTTTCCTGTAGACAGTGGCTCATTGAACCATCAGGTCTCTTTTGTATTAGGACATCCAAAAAAGGTAGCTTGCCATCTTTTTCGACTTCCATGGTAAATCTGATGGCTGGGTGTATGGAATTGATGTGGTCGAGGAATTGGTCTAGAGTAGGCCGGCCATGTGGCCAGATGACAAAAGTGTCATCCACGTACCTCTTCCATAAGGTTGGGCGCAAAGTGGCAGTCTGGATGGCGTCAGTCTCAAATTTCTCCATGGAAACGTTGGCTACAACCGGAGATAGGGGGGAGCCCATTGGGGTGTCCTCAGTTTGTTTGTAGAAAGTTCCATTCCAAGTGAAGTATGTATTGGTTAAGCAGTGTCTAACCAAGGGGGGTACCTCAGTGTTCAGTCCTTGATGAATCAAGTCTTCAATGATTGCGATGGTGTCAGGTACAAGAACTTTGGTGAATAAGGAAACTACATCAAAACTGACAAGCAGGTCGTCTGGGGACAGGGAAATACCCTTGATTGTCGATACTAGGTAAATAGAGTTAAGTACGTTAGGAAAAACCGCCACTTTTTTCAAAATGTCTTGCTGTGGATTTCACACCTGATGATGATTGCTTGTGTTGCAGTCGAAACGTCGTGAGAATTTTTATTATTTTATATTATTATTATTTTATTATTTCCCTTCTACGTAACTTTACCGAAAGAACCGAAGTTCAGAGAAACGTCATTGATTTGAGATGATTTTACAACCCTAACTTGGTTACAATTCTAGAATAGATTGACAAAAAGCTGATTTTGTTAACTATAAAATTCGGCGATGATATTATGTAAGACTAGCAATTATACAGTTCCTCTCATAATGTTGAACAAATATATTCTCATTCATAATAAAATCATGAATGTGTTAGGTAAATCAATGTCATCTGACCTGTTATGGAATGGCTGTATTACTAATCAGGCTAAGGCGACAGCAGAGAATATTTGTTTTCTTTTCCAGGTCAAACACTTTTTTTTAAATTTAACTTTGAATACATATAATTGCCCTACAACGTATCTCAAATTCGTCCACAGCTGGGAAGCTCATCTTCTTGGTTATTTCTGTGACTTTACCGAAATAACCAAGAAGATGAATCCCTGCAGTCACGAAAGCTTTAAATAAAAAAGAAGACTCATCTGCACATTAACATAGCCACCTTAGCGTGATCGCCATGGAGGCTGCTCACTGATCTTAAATTAACATGCTAATTTTTACCTGGCAGCTCTTTATTGGTGGAAAACCCACCACCATCGCGTTGCCCACATTTCAGCTTCAATAAGTGCTATTGTGCCTACAGTACATATGAGATGACAAGGTGAAATATTAGAGGTCATCAAAACCAATACCATTGATGCCGCGGCACTCTGCTTCCTTTTGAATAAATGAAGAATTTATTGTAAAGTAGACTCGTCCTTTACGGACCAAAGTTAAAGTATTCTAACAACTGGCTTTAGGTCTCCCCTTGGTCGCCAACCACTTGCTGCCACACCAATGCCTGTCTTGGTAACCTGCTTCATCTTGCACCTCCTACTCGCAACTCTAATCAAAGGCCAAATTATTTGATTATTTGGTTCTTTCGGTTAAGTAACGTCTAAAGATAAAATAATAAATTAAATTAAATAATAGCATACGACGTTTCGATTGCAACACAAGCAATCATCATCAGGTATAATGAAATAGCGACATAAAATCTAACCAGAAAACTATAGACAGACATATTAGCAGACAGATATCACCAAGATACATAGAGGGAGCAACACAGGAACCAGAGAGGGGTGATCATCTCTGTGGGGTGGCCTTAAATAGACAGAGGGGGGAGGAGGCAGAGAGAGGGAGGGGGTTAGAGAAAACATTTGCATATCAATGAGTGGTCCAAAAACAAGGTTCTGCAAGTGCGATGACACGGCAAGCAAGTCTGAAATCAGAAGGACAAACTAAAATTCAATAACCTAGCAAAATATCGAAATGTAATGTAATACAACACAGAGAGTCGGTCAACACACAATTAACGCATAGCCTGGTTGATTACGTATTTCAAAGATTGCTAAGTTAGAATTTAAGTGTGAACATTCCAAAGAGAAGACACAGGCAGAGAGAAGAGAGAGAGAAAAAAGGATAAGCTCAAAACTTCCCCGTAGAAGTGGTTCAATCTTAATTTTAGAACTTTCGTGACTGCAGTAAATGATTATTTGGTTCTTTCGGTTAAGTCACGTCTAAAGATAAAATAATAAATTAAATTAAATAATAGCATATTTTGCTAGGTTATTGAATTTTAGTTTGTCCTTCTGATTTTCAGACTTGCTTGCCGTGTCATCGCACTTGCAGAACCTTGTTTTTGGACCACTCATTGATATGCAAATGTTTTCTCTAACCCCCTCCCTCTCTCTGCCTCCTCCCCCCTCTGTCTATTTAAGGCCACCCCACAGAGATGATCACCCCTCTCTGGTTCCTGTGTTGCTCCCTCTATGTATCTTGGTGATATCTGTCTGCTAATATGTCTGTCTATAGTTTTCTGGTTAGATTTTATGTCGCTATTTCATTATACCTGATGATGATTGCTTGTGTTGCAATCGAAACGTCGTATGCTATTATTTAATTTAATTTATTATTTTATCTTTAGACGTAACTTAACCGAAAGAACCAAATAATCATTTACTGCAGTCACGAAAGTTCTAAAATTAAGATTGAACCACTTCTACGGGGAAGTTTTGAGCTTATCCTTTTTTCTCTCTCTCTTCTCTCTGCCTGTGTCTTCTCTTTGGAATGTTCACACTTAAATTCTAACTTAGCAATCTTTGAAATACGTAATCAACCAGGCTATGCGTTAATTGTGTGTTGACCGACTCTCTGTGTTGTATTACATTACATTTCGATATTTTGCTAGGTTATTGAATTTTAGTTTGTCCTTCTGATTTTCAGACTTGCTTGCCGTGTCATCGTACTTGCAGAACCTTGTTTTTGGACCACTCATTGATATGCAAATGTTTTCTCTAACCCCCTCCCTCTCTCTGCCTCCTCCCCCCTCTGTCTATTTAAGGCCACCCCACAGAGATGATCACCCCTCTCTGGTTCCTGTGTTGCTCCCTCTATGTATCTTGGTGATATCTGTCTGCTAATATGTCTGTCTATAGTTTTCTGGTTAGATTTTATGTCGCTATTTCATTATACCTGATGATGATTGCTTGTGTTGCAATCGAAACGTCGTATGCTATTATTTAATTTAATTTATTATTTTATCTTTAGACGTGACTTAACCGAAAGAACCAAATAATCATTTACTGCAGTCACGAAAGTTCTAAAATTAAGCCAAATTATTTCTTAAGTTATGAATTCAACTCGTGTGTAGGAGCTAGGTGGATTATTGAATTACAAGCATGTAAAAGTTGGTGATGATTTGGGGAGGCTGTAACAGTGGATAGAGCATGGCCAATGATGACATGGGAGGTATGATAATTCTATGACCCAAATATTCTCATCTGGAGATGTGCATCACAGAGATTGATGCCATTTATTCAACCTCTTCCCAGAGCCCATTGCTAACTCTGATTATAGCCTAGTTTAGGCCTCGTAGTGGCTACCTTGATCTGGGCCCATGGAAGTATATTGCCTCTCTGCTTAATGTGTTGCTACGTGAGTAACCTATCGCTCTGTGAAGGATACTGTAGCTGCTCCAGGCCGGAGTGGTCCAGAGTCCCCACGGTGTTGTAGACCAGGATGTTTGAGAGCAGCACGGCCATGACGAACAACCAGATGTCATGCTCCCCATTGGCCTGTGGAAAAACGAACGTCTTTTAAATTATACACCAATATATCTTACCCCTGCACTTATTCTCCAATGTCTTGGTGTCTGTGCTTTTGTTATTGCTGATTTAGTGCATTAGTGTTGCCTCCAAGGTCTGTTCAGTGCTGTTTTTATTCTTCTCTCATGTCTTCCATTCCTTCTTGATCTATTATTTCATGACGAGCTGATGCAAAGGTTCTTCTGCATCCTCTTGGGTCTTCTACGCATCGTTTCAGCATTATATGCATCAATGTATATAATATGGTGTGTTAATTATATCCTTATGTTTATGGTTGTATATTGTACAAAGATCACGCTATATATGTAACTTAACACTTGCACCTGTTTTTTTACTTAGCTAATGTTATAAATCTAGCTTATGGGCTCTTGGTCTCAATGTTTGAGGACGTTTTAAGCAAAATGTGATATCTAATTGCTAAATTTGTTTTTGAGAATTGTTCTTCAAATGACAGGTGTGCTAAAACAATATGTCGTGCTTTAAAACACTTGCAGACATGTTGACTGTATTGCGTGATGAAGGGATACACAACAACCATTTGGCCAGATAAATACTGTAACTAGCCTAGCCAAAAATAAATTATGACTCGTATTTTTGCTCATTCCCAAGCTAAAGAACTGAGCCAGCACTGCATTTGGATTGAATCCTGAGTCCCTGTCAGACAATCAGTATCATCTCGCTCGTTATTATATGAAGAAAAATATCGTGATATTTCATTTCTTGGCTGATAAGTATGTACACAAATGAGAAAGTAACCAGTGAAAGGATACGAATGAGAATAGATTTTCCACTTTTTTTTTGCAACAAAAACACGTGTTAAGATACTTATTCTTGGTTATTTCGGTAAAGTCACGTAACTTTACCGAAAGAACCAAGAATATGAATCCCTGCAGTCACGAAAGCTTAAGATCAAAATGTGTTAAGATGTTAAAACACCAAACTGAAATCTTTTACAAGGAATCATATCTGCATTAACCACAATACTTGTGGTCAGAATGCAAACAAAATAATACTCTGATAAAATATGCATTGTCTTTGGAACTGATTGGTCCACCCCAGAGACAGCTTTCTTTCGAGCCTAGTCTCAAACGGTATTAGACCAGAGGACGCCAAAAGGCATCCTCTATCTCTGGTGTGGACCAATCAGTTTCAAAGACAATCCATATATATTATCAGAGTATGTTTTTTGTTTGCATTCTGACCACACGTATTGTGGTTAATGCAGACATGATTCCTTGTAAAAGGGTTCAGTTTGGTGTTTTAACATCTTAACACCATTTTAGTTGCCAAACAAAAGGGGAAAACCTATTCTCATATTTTGGAACTGGCAAAGGAGGTCCCAAAGGATAAGAATGTTAGGAATGAATATGAAATCAATATACACAAATCCACCATCACTAAATTGAGGTGATATCACCATGGCACTTATGCTAATACAGGTACAGTTTGAGGCCACATGAAGTGTTTAACTTCACAAGCAGGAGGTAACTGAGAAGGCTGACAGATGCACCACCTGTACTCCGCACTGCCACCATGTGTTTAGTCACCCATCATGATGCTCACTGTTGTGAATATGCCTTCGCCCTCCGTGGTTGCTGGAGGGCCAACCTCCTCCAACTGCCTGGTAGAGTCCTTCACGAGTCCCCACCACAGAGGTAAATATTTACTCAGCTGGTACTTTTCAGCGGCAAGTTAAATCAGCTCAAAATCGTTCCATAATACAACGCCCCATCTTTTCTATAGTCTACGCTCTGCTCATTTAGCCCCCTTTATCAAGCCACACAGAAGCTGCTTTGGCATGCAGTGGCTGGCCATGAGGGCTACATGGCCCTACCAATGCAACCTTCTCTGCCAAAGGGGCTCACTAATGGGATTGTCCAGACGGTTCAAGGATTTCTGCACTCCTCGCACAAGTCCATTCAGCTCCGAGTCCTTCTCACATACACCAATCAATTCAGCTCCAGATCCTTGTGTAACTCTGATCCCATCAGCCCACATCTTCTCTCGTGCATGTTACAACTGCTTAGTGCACTCTAGCCAGATAAACAAGAGCAAACTGGGAATGTTATTAGTTGATGCACCTATATTCTGGAGTCACTTGTCCTCTCAACCGAATTCCAATCAGACCTAAGTTTAAAAAAAAACATGCATGAATGGACTTGACAATTTTTTAAATAAAACATTTAGATTAAGATTTTATACTAGCTGCATTAAGCCATTCATTTTGTTCAATTTTTTTTCATCGACTCTATGATCCTAATCTCCAGACGCATGCTGCGTCATCAACGGCAAAGCTAGCAGTGGAGGAATTTGTCTTTCTATGGATCTATACAGACTATTGATGAATGACGTAGGACACATGTCATGCGCTGAATTGGCCTGACTTCAAGAATAATTAACGGTTTGAACTGCATTTGGTCCCAAGGACATTGATCAACCAGGTATAGTGTTAACTGTTGGCCGAATCTCTGAGGTGCGTTACATTTCTAAGTTTGCCAAGTTTGATATCTGTTTTCTTTTTCCTTTCTGTCATCTTTTTTTTCCTCTGTAAAATTTCACCCCCACCCTCTCGCCCGTTACGGCAGCACCCCCTCCCCCCTCCTCGGATTTGGCAAGAGCATAGCTGAACAAGTTCTACGAGTTGTTTGAGAGACTGCAGTTAGCCCATCCCAAGCTCAAAGCCTTGTCTGTGTCACCTCGCATGAGGGAGGTGGTGTGCCTGTGGCACCAGGTAAATGAGAAGAGGGTTCGGACATTCATGGAACATAACTGAGGGACGGTCATTTCCGTAGCTCACACCATAATGATGAAGTGGCATAGGTGGAGGCTACTGAATGGGGCATAAGCCGTCCTGTGCGAGGCAGGATGCACACCGCTCACACCAGCCACATGCAGTGCCAGCTTCTGCGGTTAGGGGGCGAGGGTGCCAGGGATGGCGCCGGGCTTCACCGGGGGCCATGGCACACCAGGTGAACCCAGAGGCCTGGTGACCGGAGGTACCGGCCAAGGGGCCCCAAGGAGGGGGCTGGGGTGACCACGGGACCAGGACCAGGTCCCTTTCGAAGGCTCTAGAAGGGAGGCGTGGCCAGGGGTGGAGGAAGCCCCGCAACTGGCAATATAAGCCGGACCCCTGAACAGGTCCAGCAGCTGTTGCAAGATTGAAGACAGGAGCTGTCACCCGGCGAAGATCTGCCCGAGTAGAGGACCCAGACCCGAGCCAGAGTCCGGTCCGAGACGGCCACCCCGTGTGTGCTAGGGTTAGCTAGCCTGGAGGTGATACCTCCTTAGGGGTAGCTGGTGAAGGGGCAGTTATACCCCTTCGTGTTATAGGGCTTATTGTAATAACTGTGTTGCCTCCAAGAAGTCTCTTCCTCCCTCGTGTGAACCACTACAACTGGTGTCATATGTGGCCACACTGTTAGTAATTAACTAGCTAAATGGAGACAGGGAGCAGAGCAGGTTCCTTGTCTCTGGAGGATGAAGACGACGTAGCAACACCCCCGGGGTTGGCGGCCCCAGAGGAGGGTGGAGATGTATTATGCCATCCGGCTGCTCGGCAGCTTGCCGCCGTCGGGGAGAGCACTTCAGGCGGCTCACTTCTGCCTCGCCAAACTCCTCCATGCAGCAGCGTCTATTTTGGATGAAATCCATCATGGGGAGCCGACAGCAGCATGGGGCTGTGGCTCCTGCCGCCGCTTCTACAGTTCCCGCCGAAAATGCGGAATATCCCGCTGGAACTCTCCACCAACCGGAGGTCTCCGCGGCTCCCGCAAAATTTTCCCGGCAACCAGAGACCGCCGCATCACGCTTGGCATTACCGGCGCAGGGGGCCGCCATCTTGACCACGGTGAGCGGCTGACTTTCCGCCAAAAGTGACGGAGAACAGCTGTTCTGACGGAGTTCTCAGCCGCTGGAGGCTAATAGGCCACCTTCCAGCGGCGCTTCCTCATGAACTGTGAGATGGTAGGGTGGACGAAGGCTGAGGCGCTATGGGCGCTTCCTGCTGCCCTGGACGACCCAACGTCCTGGCAGCTCTGGTCACCATCCCGCCAGCGGATTGCGCCACGCTGCACCAGGCAATGCAACAGATGGTAGCGATCTATGGGCCATTGTCCAATACTCGCCACCGTTTCGCCGCACAGAGGCACGGGGACACAGACCCCTCACCTTCTGTAGTGCACTGCTGGCGTTGTCGAGGGCTGCATACCTCTGGATGGACGAGGAGGGCATGGACGCCCTGGTGATGGAGAAGCTCCTGTCATTGGCGTTGAGCTGCGGGTGATCATCCACGCCATCGATGACACCGACTTGTGCCCCCTGTAAGTGGCGCGGAGCATTCAAACTCACGTGCTTCTCCAGCGGGAGACGGGGTTGGTGGCATGCGCTCCGCCCAAGGAGGCGTGCAGCTCACTGCAGGAGCCAGCTCCTGCCCAGACCTTCGCATCGACCCTGGACAGGGGAGGACGTCGCCGCGACCAGAGCGGGGCCTCATCTCCTGCTTCAACTGTGACCTGCAAGGCCACGTTGCGTCGGGTTTCCGGGTGCCTCGACGACGCTTCTCCGGGCCCCAGCCGCCATCCGCCCAACCATCCTTCTCTCCACGGCAACCCGTCGTGAGTTGCGACACCGCACACACCCAGCCCCTAGTTCCCCTTCACGCATCTCATTTCGCCGGGTTACGGTCTCATCGTGCATCGGTACTGGGGAGTGCAGACTGCATTCAGGCTGACTGGTCACTCCGACCGGGTCAGTGGTCGTAGTTGGCCAATAGGGTGGTTGCCGCGACCGCGGGTTCGTCGGTTGTCGTGGGCTGCTTTGAGGGGGTCGATTTTCATATGCACGTCGGAACGGGGGCGTTGGCAACCATTATTTCTGAGCTCATTTATAACATCTTGCCGGATAAGTGACATTCCTTGCGCCCTGTCGAAGTGCCGTGCTTTGCCGCCAATGGGGGTTCATTCGGGATCATCGGCCAAATGACTGCTCAAATTTGTATTGGGGATGTCAAATTGTCTTGACTGATTCTCGTTTCATCATCCCTTGCTGTCCCATGCTTGCTCGGGACTGATTTTTTGGGAAAATTGCCAGTACAAACTTTAAATAGATCAGGGTTGTATCGAGTTGCCCTCCGGTCGTCGCTTGGCATTACAATCTTCCTCCACCCGCTTGTGGATGGCGAATGCCACGGTACAAGTGCTTGCGGCCCAAACAGTTTGGATTCCCCCGGGTGTGCAAATGCTTGTTCCTCTGCGCTTATGTAAGCCGCTTGACTCGGCGGCAACAGCGGCAGGGATCCTCCTGGGTCCCTCCAACACAGCTGTGCGGGGGATGAATCTAGTAGGGGCACAGACCCTGGTGTAGCTGACAGGGACCCGTTTATTCAGGTCCTGCATGCTGGGTTTCAGACGTCCATCATTCCACAAGGCACAGTGCTTGCCCATGCATCGCCCTCGCTTCAGGGGTGGTAGGTAGCGTTGGGGCGGGGTCACGTCCGACGCCGCGTTCGGGTTCAGATGCCTGCAGGGTAGACTCCCTCTGCTCAGAGGCTGTGGACTTGTCCACAGCCCAGCGGAGCAAATTGAGGTCACTCTTAATGGAGTTCGTTGACATTTTCTGCACCGGTAAATTCTCTCCCTGCTGCACAACTGGCCCATGAAAGATTTGGCGACATGGTGATGCAGCCATGAATCCTCAACCATCAACCACATTGTAAACACCTGCTGTCTTCACTCCTTTAAAAGAGGAATGGACGACATCCTCTATGCTTCTGACCAGATAATTTGAGTGGAAAACAAATCTAATATTGCATCTGTACGGGGCGTCCATAAATGACGTCACGCGATTTTGGACCATTTTTGACCCCCTCCCCTCTCGTTACACGGCATCACAAAAAGTCAGACCGCCCCTCAAATATGACGTCACAAAGCTCTGCCCCTCCCCCCCAAAACCATATTTCCATTTTGAAAATAAAAATGCTTCAAATCACTTTAAACTATTGTCATTGTAGTGCGTATTTAATGTGGCGCTGCACTCTGATGTTGTAGGAGTGTTGTTATAACAATTCTATATTTATTTAAAGTTGCGCATTTTGATGTGACGTCACATTTCTCACCCTCCACCCCCTCGTCACACATCGTCACAAATGTCTGACCCCCCCCCCCAGGTGCATGACGTCATTTATGGACGGCCCCTAGTGGTGTTATTTCACACATTCTTTTTCTCCTGTGTCACTTTATTCGAACAGAACTCCACGCGTTCAACACCACGTATCTCCGTAGCAACTCTTCTGCTGGCACTGCTCTCCTGCTACACTCCGCTCGCACCGATCGCTCCGCTCGCTCCACTAGCCTGCTCTCTCTCTCACTCTCTAGCCTCTCCGCTGCTAGCCTATCGCTACACACTCTGGTAGCTTCCCTACTGCTAGCCGTATCACACTCAAACTTAAGATTCCGCTAGCCTCTCTACTGCTAGCCTGTCTACGCTCACTCCTCCATCCTCTCACTTGCCTCCAGCGGGGATCAGCCAACACTGCGGAGAGGACGAGGTGTGGAGAGCGAGGTCCCAGACTTCTCTTGAATTATCCCTTGTCTTCACTCCAACCAACTCAACTCCTCTGCCTCACACGTTCCTCTTTTATCCTCCTCCTCATTAAGTGTCCCCAGATGGCCCTCATTAAGCCGGTATCTTCTCCACGCCTCACGGACGTGTTCTCCGCCTTATCGCCACTATCTCTCGCCTCTGTGGTGCCTACTCTGCGTATGCATTTGCAGCCAGGCAATCACTGCCTCTTTCCCAAATTGCTGACGTCTCTCTGTCTGCTGTCACCCAGGCCATCCGCCTGCAACTGCTAATTCTTAGCTGACCTCACTGTCTGCAATCCCGCACATAATGCAACCGCTGTTTGCAAACCCTGCGAGTTACGCCACTACACATCTTTAACTGCTGCTATTAATCCATAGCCTACCCTTCAAGGGGCTCATACCACCAGGTTCTGAAACTGGTTTTCCACTGTCACTGAGTTTTCTACAGTCAGCTGCCAGACACAAAAAAGCATGCACCTTTTCCACAGCTGTATCAGCATGCCTCACAGACAATGCCACACACATATCCACTCATACACTATTAATTAATCAATTATAATTTTCCTCATTATCATTGTGATTAGTATGGAAAAAACATATTATTCAGACGAGTAACATGTAATTATTTTTAACACCAAATGTTTGTTATCAGGGTATATCCGCAACAGGCCCTCACCTTCTCCACATCGCCCAGCCCCTCTGTGTCCAGCAGCAGCAGACATTTCCTCTCGTCGCGGGGGTGACGGACTGGCCAGATCCAGATACCCTTGGTGTGGGACTGCACTGTATTACCCAGTGAGAAGCCTGAGGAAGCCAATTAAATAAACGTGTCATCTTGTGTATAACGTACAATATGGCCCACTCACTTTTTCTGTGAGCTGTCCTACCTCGGGTGCATTCACAGGACGTGTCCACTGATAGACAGGAGGTTCCTGGTGCAAACCCTAAATGGAAGTTTGATCCCACAACCTCTTGTCTCCTGGATGTTTTGTCTTCTTCACCTGTGAACCGGTTTAAGAATCATATTTATGCCCCATCTGGCCCTTCCCTCTAAGTTTCTCGAATCTGCCTTCCTCCAGTGGCAGACCAATGGTGGCTTCGCCTCTCCTGAGCCCACGTGATTTTTAACTGTAACAGGAAGCCATTAACCTTCTTCTTCCTATGTGCACAGATATAATGTCAATGCTGCATACACATTTGTTGCTATAATTGGGTCCTTGGTTAAACATGTGGTGACAAATTTCCATCTTCTCAACCCTCATCATTACTGTAGTGCACATTGTTTGAAATCCCCCAATGACCAATTACACTGTTTACGTAAATATAGCTAAACTAAAAATATATATATATTTGTACATATATCATTACATTATACACTCTCAAAAGGACGTGGGGACAATGGATTGTCTTATTATTATTTTATTTTTTTTATGTGCCAGAACAGATAAGGGGATGGAGACATCTGTTTGGGTATTTTGTTACTCAATCTCTACGTTCGAAATTATTTCGTGTTATTAAATAAATAACACGGGCAAAAGTAGTACACAAATGGGGGGAACATGCCGGTTTAAAAGAACAGATACGTGGCACCCGCCCAGCCCTATCCCTAACCCCCACCGATGATGACGTTGGCTCTTTCATTGACCACCTTTGGAGTGTCTCTGAAGGCAGGTGCCAGGCCCACACGCCCCACATCTTTGGCCCTTCAGGGTGCATGCTCAGCCTACCAGCATGGGGTCCACTCGAACAGGAGCAATGCTCCCCAACCCCCCCGCTTTTCCACATCATGATTGTTAATTTCATACTATTGTAAAGAGCAGACCAGTCCTGGGTAGGGTGAATACAATGTTACTTTATTTGCGGCGCTCTCACTCAGAACCACGTCCCTCATTCCTCCATTTCCTACCAAGAAAGCACCCCGAGCCCTCCGCCTCTCCCGCCGACGTCACAACTCTCTCCCGGGGCCGTTTCCCTCGCCGATCGCCCCGCCTTCCCTCCCTTTTTATCTGATTCCGTCAGCCTCTCGGGGGCATCTCATCTCACGTAATAAGTATTTATAAATCACCACCCACCCCCCACTCCTTCGAAGGAAAATTAGTCCTCGATTTCTCACGAGGATTATTTCCTGACATCAACACTGATGCGCATCCATATTTATAAAGTGGCTGGGACCTTGCACAGATACTCCCGAATTTGCAGGATGCCGTTTCGGAGCCTATGCAACCCCCTGCCTAGTAAGGGTTATGCACTGTTTCTGGACTCAAAAAAGCGATCATAAGATAGGTTTTTGGGATAGATCGCTTAAATATATAAATGTGTCGTTAAAACCCGCCACCACCCGATGCAGCCAACTAGTAAGGGTTGTCACGTAAACAGAACATGCCAATTCGTCACTAGTACTGCACACCGATCCAAGCCAAACTATAAACTTTCATAGATTGCCCTGGCGATCCATGACTATAAGATATTATTAATCGCTATGTACGATACTAACTGCTGCTTTAGCACCTGGTCATGCAGCAACGTCAACAAATGCATCAAGTCCATGTTTAGGGTGTCCAATAACCTCACAATCACTCCTCTAAACATCTAAGGATGCTTTTATTTTTCGATTTAAAGCTTTCGTGACTGCAGGGATTCATCTTCTTGTTTCTTTCGGTAAAGTCACGTAGAAGGGAAGTAATAAAATAATAAAAATAAAACATAATAAAACAATTCTCACGACGTTTCGGCTACAACGCAAGCAGTCGTCTTCAGGTGAAGAATGAGACACTACCAAACTAGGAGCTTATATATAAGCTGCATTGGGGGTTGAAGAGCGCCTTAACAAAAAGAATGTGCATGTGAAGAGGAATTTAGCATATTCATGGAAAATGCGTAGGCGTTGGGCGGGGGGGTGTCAAAGTCATATTATGCCCATGCATTATGCAGGATCAGCAGCAAGGATCAGCAGCAATCTAAGGATGCCCCCATATGGCTGCATAACAGTGTCTACATTGGGTAATTTCCAAGTTAGCAACACTTACGAGCACTGCAGTGTAGGACCTATCAGGAATATGTTTGATATGAACCAACCTCTGGACCGCCGGGGTGTGGGAAGTGCAGGTCTGGCATTTGGTTCCGTCTGCTCAAATTTCCCAGGTCTGAATTACAAATTAAAAAGTACACAACACAAATTATATTAAAATATTATCAAATGGCCGTCTCTCATGGCATAGCAACACAGCAACAGCCAGGCTGAGTGTAATGAAACTGAATCATTGCCCTTTATATGAAGATTTTTAAGAGCAATAAAAAAACATTCTCAAAGGCACAGCAGAACTCAGCTTTTTGGTATAAAGCGCCGATGACCAAATCACTTGAAATGCGCCCTCAGTTGTCAATTGTCGGACATTAAAAGCTAAGCAGGTTTGAGCCTGGACAGAGCTTGGATGGGGCTGTGCTCCATCGTGGGCAGCATGTGGCAGCACCAGACATTAATGATTAAACCGTACTCATGAGTCCTACTGAGGATGAAACCTGTTAACAGGTTTGTTTCTCTGCTTTATGTTGGGATGCACAACGCTTTAAGTTGGTGGTACAAACTACAAAAGGACCACATATTCAGTTATTGTAAGCTTTCTTGATAAGGCTGAGAACTCATTCACATGCAATACACATGTGTGCGTGTTGTTACATCTAATGCATTGCCCTGTAAAGTATTTCAATGATAGTGCATCTGTGTGCTCACTGCCTTCACAGTCCGCAATGCCTGGATTGGTGACGTATGGTCAAATAACACCCATGATCTGCACGGCAGGGGAGGCCCTCATCCAGTGTTGGATTAACAAAAGGGCTGTACAAGACCATGTGCCTGGTAACGGTTGTAAATCGGTTGTCAGAGTGAAACATCACTCCTGAGGGTGCACTCGCTGTGATGTTTTTGTTATTTCCCATAGAACATCCAGCCAACATCTGTTTCTGCGTGACACACCCAATCATTGCCCAGCGCTTGACCATGTTCCTCACATTGGTTAATTCCTCTCCATCTGTGGGAACAAAAACACAGAGAAGTCAGTGCTTCGCTGTAGTGGCATAGATATTGAGTGCACAGGCGGTGCAACTGCACTGTGGTTCACAGGCCATAGTGGCCCATGCACTCGGTGAGAGGGGCAGCTGCAGATTGGTGAGATTTAGAAAGACGGTGCCAATGTCAAGTTCTGCAGTCGGGTAGCTATACTAAAACTAGCTGGGAACCGAGTAACGAACAGCTTATGTAGTGCTATAAATTGCGTAGGGACAATTTGTCCCACGTTCGATTCGATGGGATGTATGTAAGAGAAACGCATAAATATATGAGATCATATCGGTGGTGTTAGGAATCTTAAGTCCGCCATTGCTCATGTACACACACTCGAATGCTCTCAAAACAACAAACACACAGACACAATCAGGCGTGTACACAGTCACAAAAAATATCTCATCCCGACAAATACACGCACTGTATCGAATAAGCCAAGAAGAATATTCCGAAATTGCCTTTGAAAACTGTATGTGAGAGCCTACGAAAGCCAACATGGCAAATAATAGATAGACCCAAACACACAAACACACTGTCACCCACACGTATAACAATGCTAATTTACACTTTTGCACCTTTCATGCAGAGGTCACAAGGCGATGTACAAAACGCAAACACACACACACGCTGGCTCACACCAACAAAAGTTTCTAGGAAGAAGTTGCGTACTAAGGTGCTATTTGAATAAAACAAAGTGAATTCCACAGTCTGGGGGCCACACGAGAAAAGGCGCGGTCACCCATCATACAGAGATATCAAGACATACCCATGCAAAGTAACACACTTGCACAATTACATACATGCACCCTCATACACTCGCATTAAGAAATGCATGCAAAATCACACACATTACTTAAATAAAAACATTAATAACATGAATATGTAACTTACCTAATCCACATCATGGGTGAAGCTCAAGGGGCGATAAAGTCACAAGGCCACATTCCACAGGGACTTAATGCAATTGTAGTAATATTGCATCAGGATTATTTTCCTGACATCAACACTGATGCGCACCCATATTTATAAATTGGCAGGTACCTTGCCCAGATACTCCCGAATTTGCAGGATGCTGTTTTGGAGCCTATGCAAACCCCTGCCTAGTAAGAGTTATGCACTGTTTCTGTACTCAGTTAAAAAATAAGTGTTACATAGTTAAGAAATAGCTAAAGCGCCCAAACGTGTATGACCAGGACAGTTTCAGAGTCTTGAGAAGCAATGATTACTCCTTTGGTTCTTTCGGTAAAGTCACGTAGAAAGAATATTAATTAAATAATATAATACGACGTTTCGATAGCAACACAAGCAATCGTCGTCAGGTTAAAACACAAACCTAGTAAACTTAGAAATACAATGCAATACAACACAGAGAGCCGGCTAACACAACAGTCACACCCTACCTGGTTGATTACGTTCTTCCAAAGATTGCTAAACTTGAGAGAGAGACAAAACACAGACACGAAGACACACAGACACACAAGCAGAGAGAGACAAAACAGAGACACACAGAGAGAGACACACACATAGCCACACAGAGACACAACGCATCTATGTCGAGACCTTAAATAGAGACAGAGTGGGGTGGGGCAGAGAGAGAGGTGGGGGTGCTGGAGCAGAGAAATAAGCATGTCAATGAGAGAGCTGTGTGTAAATCCACCCCGCGGCAGCCGGGAGAGAGAAAGACCCGTACAAGCCTGGTAAATTTTAGAGAGAGAAATAGGAAGTTTGAGAAAACGAACTTAGCAACATTTTTGGAAATGTAATGGAATGCACACAGAGAGTCGGTTAACACGCAGTTAACGAATAGCCTGGTTGATTACGTTCTTCCAAAGATTGCTAAATTAGAAGTTAAGTGTGAAATTTGACAGAGACACAAAGAGAAAGAGAAAACAAACTTAAATAATCTCCGTAGAGGTCGTTCAAACTTGATTTGAAGCTTTCGTGACTGCAGGAATTGTTATACAATGTATTCCGTCTAATAAATGGACAAATGCCTCCTTATTTTATATGCGGACTGTTTGACCGTGCTTTTCCGTGCTGATCAGTGCGGGTTAAAATAATTTCTATGTTCATCCCATCACCGAAAATTTGACAAATCACACCCGGCTATGTTCTAAGCTTGGTACAACACCGCTTGTATATGTGTAGTGCATGGTATTTACCTGGTTCTTTACTATGATGTAGGCTTGATTCTCCTTCTGACCTGTGCAACAAATTCAAATCAATCATTCGTGTCGTTGTGGAGATTATAAGGAACAACATATATCAGCAGACAATATTCCTCATTCACATATCTGCCTCTACATATACAAAATAAAAGTGTATTTTACACATACCATCTTAAATTATCTACAATAATACTCATGGTTATTTAGTTTAATGTAATACATATAGTTTTTCTGCAAGCTCGGATTCATGACGATAAGATATTACCTAACACTAGATGGCCGTTGACCAGCATAGGTTCAGACAAGCCTGACTTTACAAATAAGACGCTGTCAAAAACTAGTCCAGTTGTTTAGTTGTGTTGAACCAATTCTGCTGAAAGTATGCACTCCCAGAGGTTACGTGGCTCATGAAACATGTAATGTTGATATTTGGGGTGATATTAAAACGGCTCTATGTTCTGCTTAATTCCTTTGCTTGATTTGAAGCTTTTTTGACTGCGGGAAAAAAACTCTTTGGTTCTTTCGGTGAAGTCACGTAGAAAGAAAATAAATTACATAATAGAATACGACGTTTCGATTGCAACACAAGCAGTCGTCATCAGGTAGAACTCAATTTGAGAGAGAGACAAAACACAGAAACGGAGACACACAGACAGACACACAAGCGGAGAGATGCAACACACAGAGAGAGACACACAACATAGACACACAACATAGACACACAGAGACCCAATGCCTCTGTGCCGTGGCCTCAAATAGAAAGAGAGGGGGGTGGGGTTGGGGCAGAGAGAGAGAGAGGTGGGTCTGCTGGAGCAGAGACATTAGCATGTCAATGAGAGAGCTGTGTAGAAATTCACCCAGCGGCGGCAGGGGGAGAGAAAGACCCAGCAAGTCTGGTAAATTTTAGAGAGAGTTGTGTGGAAATCCACCCCATAGCAGCCTGGGGAGAGAAAGAGCGAATGGACCTATGAGAGCCTCGTAGATTTTATAGAGAGAAATAGGCAGTTTGAGAAAACAAACTTAGCATTTTTTTTGGAAATGTAATGCAATGCAACGCAAAAAGTCTGACATGTTATTTTTGTTTTATTTTATTTATTTTTCTACCTACGTGACTTTACCAAAAGAACCAAGGAGTGTTATTTTACTGTCTCCAACCGCAAAGGTGCCCAACACACGGACGTGGATGCCCTGTCGCGATTGCCAAAGAGCGACGGGTGCGCGTGTTTCTCAGGCTCGGGGCGCTGTACGACGCCTGAAGAGGCCTCGCCCCCTCCCTTTGCGGCGTCAATCGAGGTTGACACCCCTGATTAAGCCGACGGTTCTGAGGTGTGTGACGCCGTTATTGGCTTGGACAATGCGGAGTGGGGACGCCTCCAGGTTGAGGACGCTTCCCTGTTTAATATATGATGCTGTGTGAAGGGGGCAGACGGGGGTGGGGATCGACGGGGTGTAGCCTCTGTCATTCTCAGAGGCGGGTTGCTGATGCGTTGGGACGGAGGGTTGCGCCATTACAACATCGTCGTGCCCACTGCCCTGTGGGGTAAAATAATCTGAGCAGTGCATGAGCGACTGCTGCACCTCGGTGTGCATAAGACACAAGCCACACTTAAGTTCGACTTCTTCTGGCCCGGTATGGTGGATGTTGTCGCTAATGTATTGAAGGGGTGTGTGCAGTGCGCTCGGCGGAAACCCCCGTCTAAACCCTGGTGTCCACCATTGCAATCTATTCGAGTTTCCCGCATAAATGAGTTGGTCGCTCTTGATATCCTTGGTCCATTTCCTACCACCCCTCGTGGGAATAAGTATTTACTGGTGGGCATCGAATATTTTTCACGGTGGCCGATGGCCTGGCCGCTTCCCAACCAGTTGGCGGTGGCCATCACAGAGGCATTCCTCGACGACTATGTGATGGACAAGGGGGTGCCTGAGCGCCTTCTGACCGATCAAGGTAGACCATTTTCTTCTAAATTGCTGCGGGAGGTGTGTGATTTGTTGGGAACAAAGAAAGTACGTACGTCGCCCTACCACCACCAGACAGATGGGATGGTGGAGCAAGTCCCAGCTTGACTGGGACTTGGCTGCCTATAGAATGGCCCCTCATGTGTCCACTGTCTACTTGCCATTTGTTTTAATGTACGGGAGAGAACACGACCCCCTGATTGATGTCTAATAACAAGCTGCGCCAAACATAGCTAAATCTTAAATTTCGGAGTCCATGTGCTTTACCCTTCAGAGGCTTTCAGAAGCACGCGAGGCTTCCAGGGGAAATTCTAACTCACGCCAATTGGCAAATGAGCGGCTGAGGGGTCTCCGTCTTTCTGGACATAAGTGGTCTCCAGGTAACAGAGCCTGGCTGCACTGTTCCCAGGTACCGGTGGGTACATCAGCCAAATTGTTTAAACATTGGAGGGGGCCGGTTGATGTGATTCGGGCTGTTCGGCCTCTGTATTCAAATTCGCTGGGGTCAACGGAGTTGGTTTGTACATCCCTCTCGCCTAAAACCTTTCATCGTGCCATGTGAATTCATCACATCTCCACTATGCAGGGGCCGAGTGTCGGGTGTGTCAGGCAAGCTGAGGTGTGTACCCGCTGAGGTTGGTCCTCAGGGGAGTTATGTGATCCCGTCCTCAGGTTCTGCGCGTTGAACTTCCCCAAAGCCGCCGCCTGCTTCAGGAGTGGAGGGCCCGTCTGCCCGGCCGACTGCTCTTCATGAGGAACCGGGCACATTTTCCAATTCGCCCTGGGACCCCCAGGGAGCTTACGCCCACCTCGCCTGAGGGACCGGCCACAGGGACTCATTCCAAGACTGTTCAGTTTTCGTGACCCCCATACACACACACTCCCACGCCGTCAGTTGGTTGTCACACTCGTCATGTCGTATTGGTCATTGGCTGAACCTGGCCTTTATTGTGCTTGCGGGTGTTGTTACACGGTGAGGGTGGGTGATGCTGGAGGGGGTCCCGAGGTTTCGTGTGTTACCACGTGTTTTTTATTCTCTTCTTCCGCTCTTCTCTCTCTCTTCCTTTCTCTCTTCCGTTTTGTTTTTGCGTATTGTTGGTTCTTTACTTCTGTTCCCTTCCCCTGTTCGTCACTGTATATAATGTAGATATTGTACATATGGGATGGGGTATTTATTTGTTGAGGCACACTGAGGGGCTTTTGTTTTTTGTTGAGGGTGAGTTGACAGCCGGGATGGCTGAGTTTTACGAAGGGGGGGGGGGTGATGTAGTGACACCGCTGGTTGTCACCATGCTGTGGGTGCAGTACCTGCCCTAAAGGGGCACGGTGTGCGCTGAATAATAGCGCTGGATGACACCACGCTTTATGTGCAGTGCCGACCCTACACGACAGGGTGTGTGGGTGCCAACCGAAGGATGAGGTTGTGCGTGGCCATGGCACTCTGGTTGACTCAGGAGGACACGTGACCGGTTAAATTGACAGAGGGGCCCCAAGAGGGGGCTAAGGGGTGTCACGTGATTGGGACCCAGATCCTTCCCGAGGATTCTAGAAGGTGGACATGGCCAAGAGTGGAGCAGGCCGTGCCACAGAGAATATAAACCGTGTCCCGAGAGGGACCAGGGTGGTTATTCATCCTGGAAGAAACCCTTCATCTATGTTCTCCGTTCAACGAGTCTCCAACACGTGGACCCGGGCCGAAGTCGTTGGTCCTGGTCCATAGTAGCAGTTACGTGGTAACTAGTGTGGTTAGCCGGGGGGTCATTACCTTAGGTTGTTATTCTGGTGAGGGGAAGTTACCCCGTGTGTTGGAACTGAATAAACAACTTGCCTCCAAGTCTACGAGTGCCACTCAGTTGAACCCATTACACAGGTAAGGATATGTGTTGTCAATGCGCTGAAGACGCAGGACCGGTGAGCCCAATCCACCACCCAGGGACCATCAGGCTCAAGCAGCACTCCTTCATTGGTTCCCCTCACTTGCCCTGAGTCTCTGTAGGACTTACTGGAACTCCCGGCACCTCATCACCTCACTCGGGGTTAGGAAATCTCACCTTCTCCCTGCAATGTGGATTCAAAGTTTGGCTGGATAGAGCAATCGTAAGCGCACCCTATTCCTGTTTTCCATATCTCTATGCAGAGGGAGGAAGTTCATCTTCTTCTAGTCAGCCGAAGTAAGGTCAAGTAATGTAAAGTTTCCCTCAATTTTAGTGGCTTTACACTTTAATATTCTTGCCATTTTTAGCGCTTCTTCAGTTTCATGCCAATTGGGGAAGGGGGTGGGGTCTCAGATTATTTGCTTCCATTAAATCTTGCTCCTCTTTCCTTCCAAACAAGTGTGTTGGTTGTTGATGCGGAGTTCCAGGTTCTTTTGTACAGAGGGTCAGAGTTTTTGAATGTAGCAGATAGCTCCTTGGGAGGCAGTGTCCTCTACCCCCTCCACGTCACCAGAGGCCTTCAATTGACTTTCCCAGCCCTTACTATATAGATTATTAAACGTCTTCATTAGCTCCTTGAGTTTGTTATTATCTACTTTTCTCAGGTTCCCGTGTTCCTGGAAGAGATGCCATTGCTAACTCTTGTTTCTCTACCCTCTCATTAATCCTGTTTAGTTTTTCGTTGAGACCCGGAGTAGAGTGGGTTTCTCCTCCGTTTATTGACCAACTTCCCGGGTGTTTTGGAAAATGTGATTGGCATTTTCAAGTAAAGCTTGTAGCATCCCATGATTCCCTCCAGGAGGGGTCTCAGGTCTTTCCTTGATTGAAGAGGTTAATGGAGAGGAGGTCTTTGACTTCTTGCCTGTGACTCTTTCCGCTCTTCAGCACGTGGAGTGTAAGGCAAGCCAACAGCGGCCTAAGCTTCAGTTACATAAGACAGGACCGAGTTAAAATACAATTCTAACTTTTTCGTGCAGGGAGAAAGGCATGCAAGAATCTGAGTCTTCCAATAAAAAAAACTGTAGAAACCTCGTGCATTGGGCTGATATTAATGAAAGGGTCGAAGTGGTCTTATTGAGCACTGCTGACTCGGTCATACAGTCACCGGAAGACGCTATTCGTCTATTAAAATGATCTTTGTCATTATTTATGAGAGTCCGTGTAAGTATAGTGAGAGTATTTTCAAGTGAATGTGCACGTGTGTGTTTGGATGTGTATGTGCTTGTCAAAGTGCACGTGTGTGAACATGAATAATGTCTATCTCCAGGGTGGTATTGATCGACCCTTATTTATAATGGAATGGTTGCGTTTTCATACGATTAATACCATATTTATTTAGAGTTAGGACAAGTGTTACACAAATTCTAGACTTTTTGTAAGTTGTTCCATACTCAGGTGCCAGGTTGAGACCATCAACTGCTATTCAGAAACCAATTTGTTGAAACAGTTTGAAATCATGGACTGCATTATTGCCATTTCTAAGCCAACCCAGACACCTCATATCTCCACTGATGACAAATAAGACTCACCTCTTAATCGCAAACTTGGGATGCATGTCCAGCTTTAAGACAGGTTTCACTGCTTCTGATGTGAGGAGACAAAGCAGTGATACAAGAATCAATATTTTCTTTAATATGCAAATAATTCATTAATATTTAATCTCAAACGTTACAGAATTTGTAATGCAGACATATAATTTATTGTCAGGGACAGAGGGTGATCCAGAGGCATTTTCAACCACAGACAAGTGGGCATAGCAAAAGTTGGTGTTAACAAGTGGCCAAGCTCTGTGGCCCTTAATATTTGGCCAAAACTGCGGTTGGCAATAGCAAGGCCTTATGGGAAATAGGAGGTTAGGGCAATAGTAGAGTGACGGTCGCACTCGTCAAAGCTTAACTTATTTGCTTATTCCTTCACTAAATACAAGTAAAGGCATAGCATAAACATCAATAAATGTTCAAATAACAGAATTAAAATAATGTTATTTTACCGTTAATGTTGAGAGTTGAAGTTCATGGTGATGACGATGATGTTGATGAGGATTCGAAGGAGGAGGAGGGGCTTTGCCCACCCTCTTCCTCTATCAAGTGGTGGAAAGAGAGTGGTGGCGGCAGTTGGGAAATGAGATGATGCATGGAGGGAATATAGATGTGAGTGATATGAAATTACAAGTGCCGGTCGCCGTGCTAAACCGTTGATACACAAACACCATACCACGGTAAGCCAATTAGTATACCGAAGGAAAACCGTGCATACGTAAATACCGTGAATGTGAAACACGCAGATGGTGAGGGATTGCTGTATTCTAATTACCGTACTATCGTACCCTCACAAACCAGAATTTGGCAACTTTGACACCCCTGGGTAGGAAGGAATTTTCACGAATGTGTGTTATCCACCAACACTCTCCCAGTGCTAAGTTATGAACGTCCGCTCGTACTTGTGAACCGAACCACGGAACTCCTTTGTTCAGTGGAACAATCATCCAGCATCAGGACTCAAGGAAAGTGATATCATAACCTTTTCTTTTCACGTTACATTATTTTGTATTATTTACTATACAATATTTCTCTGGATTAGATATAAATGGACAATATTCCTTATTTATGAGCATAACAATGCTTCCCTTTTTTGTATAACTGTAATATATTTTACTAACAGTATGTACAGTATGTGCCGAAGTATGAACAGCTCGACTTATGAAAGGAACAAGAAACACAGTCCGTTCGTAATTCGGGGACTATACATATGTATATGTGGGAAACGGTGGTGGAGCGGCTTGTGCACTGCTCTATGAACCGACAACGTGAGTTCGATTCCCGCTCATGGCCATCATTAGTGATAGCGATTATATGAAGTGGTCCTGGGCTTCCCCCCTAGGTCGACTAATCCTCAAATTAGTATCTGGTGTCATGTGTAAACTTCGCCACTGGGGAGACAAAGGCGCCCAGACGTGGTGTTGGCCACCCACCCCATTGTATGCTCTTTCGGCCTTCATAGGTACTTGCTAATAGCACTTGCCCCAACAGCCTTTGAAAGGCTTTACGGGGGATTTGTTTCTCAGTATACATTTGTTTTTATTTTACCAGGTAAAGCCCACTGAGTTATATAGCTCTTTTAAACAATCGACATGGCCACAAATAATAGCTGAACAAAGTGCCTTATAATGTGGGAATTTATAACAGCCAAATTATGCCAAATTATCATTGCAAGTTTATGAATGTGGAGGGAAAACCTGGCAGTACCCTGGGGTAACAAATAATACAGAATGGCCAAGGCAATAAAACATTTTATTTCTGGGAAACAATTTTTTCCAGGGATGTACTTAACTTCGCGACTGGGATACCAATCAATCCGAAATCAGTGCTACTCCGAAATGTCGAAACGCAGCGAGGACGATTGCGCTGAAACCTTGAACGCTCGTACGCACCACAGTGCATCGTGGACAGCTCGTCGAGATGAGTCGATTGCCGCATCGCCGACCATCAACAGACTAAAAATGACTGCATCATGGACATTATGCGAGAGCCGGGGTACTATGGTACCCCCGGGTACTGCACGAGGTGCAAATGGCAAGTGAAAAGCCGCTGCGAGGATCATCCGAGTTCATGCGATGTGTTATGCTCCTTGACGAGATCAGCACGGTATTGTGCTTCATTTCTGGTAAGCACCTTTTGTGTACTGAGTGCGACCTTATAATGCATTCAATCGGCAACCAGAAGCCAATACAGCGTGGCGAGCACTGGACGGACATGATCTTGCAGTGCCCGTCACGACATGTGCCAGATAATTGTGTACATGCTGCAGTGAGGTAATGTTTTTGGCAGACGTCATGTAGTTAGTTGCAATATCAAGATTGTTGAGTTACTGACGTGTTAGAACGTGACTTGATAATTTCGTTCAGATCATTGTTGATTTTACCACATGAATCAGTAAGTTCGGAACAGTTTAAGTCAACACAGATGATGTATCGAGAGCCAAGGTGACCCAAAGTCTAGCAAACTGGAAAGCTCGACAAATATTTCCAACACCGGTGAAGACGGTGGTCGATAGATTACGGTGATTAAAAGCCTCCGCACGCTGTTCGTTATTTTCACAAGCAGCACCTCGAATGACGGGAATGTAAATCAGTTCCTTAGGACCTTCATGAAGAGGTCTCCAGGGTGAATCTGTGTGATCTTACCACCATGTCTGCTGCGGCTTTTTACGATGTTGCTGATGTACAATAAAATATCCGTCAGATGCAGCCTCATGCTTAATTACGTCCGGTGAGGCATCATATACCCAGGTTTCAGTAACAGCCAATATATCGAGTCCACAGCATAACCATTTGCAAGGCATTGCAACAAGCGGCATTTCCACAGTAGATCGTAGCACAGTTGGTGTGGAACCGATCAGCACTCCCTTCTGCACGATGGATGCTGGGCAGTGTCTGCTGGTGAGTCCCACCAAAGTATCGGTGACCTTTTGATGAGATATCATTGATTTGTCGATCCAGGCCAAGAGAAGTTCGGGTATGGCCCCTCATTCTCCAGGGAAGAGGGGAGGCATTGCTTCACCAGACCATTCAGCTTCCTGAGCTAGAGTTCTGCGAGTGAAGCAGAAGTTGCAACATCGCCATTGCAAGGTGTGGTTGCTGCTGTTGTTGCTGATGTTGTTGCAGTTGCTGTTATGTTGCTGCTTTTCAGTTGGTACTGTTGCTGCTGTTCTTGTTGCTGTTATTGCTTCTGGTGCTGTTATACATGCAACATGTTGGTGTTAATTAAAACCCTCTGATCAAATCCCTCGATCAAAGGTGCTATGTTTCACAAATCGTCTGCAGTAGTTTTTCTTTTCTTTCTTTCCTTATGTTGCCATATGCAATCCCAGTTGAGTAATTTATAACTCACATTTGGACTATGACACGAGGACTCTATGGTCCTACTCTTTTTGAATAACAAAAGAGATTAAGTTCGATAGGGTGTTTGTTAGGATGCCTGGCACCACAAAGTGCAACCACCAGGACTGGTTTGACTAGAATAATATCACCATTGGCAGATTGCTAAAGGAGAAGAGGGCTGCACGTAATATACTCTTGCAGGAAAGAGGCTAACGAGAAAAGACATTTGCCTTCCACAAACCCGGAGTTGTACCACACAAAGCGGTAATGAGAAGGAAACTCAGCTTGTTTGGTCACAAATGCAAGATGGAGAACAATAGGAAAAAATGGGCAATGGAGCCATACTACCTGACAATGGATATGGAAGTATTTAGATGACCAACATTAGCACACCATTTGAAACACTTCAGCAACTTAAAGAAGCTGTCATTGGTGATTTTGCACGCCAATTCCTATACCACAAGTGGCGATGCGACAGAGACATCCTCGCACGAAAAAATTACATTGTTAATATCACTAACAACGACCTCCGTTCCGAGTTGCCAGGCAGGCACTCCTTACACATTCAAGTCAACTGACACTGTACTGGACACGAATGAGGCAGTCAACGACGCTAAATAATGTCTCAACTCTCTGCAACCACCTGGTCTGCCTCCACAAAAATACACGTCAATATTAGCGTACCCATCATGCTTCGCAGGAATTTAGACCCACGAACACTTTGCAATTGCACATGATTAGCCGTGAAGAAAATTATGCCCCATGTAATTGAAAGCCAGAAACATGACTGGTCATGCAGCAGGACACCATGTATTCATTCCACGCATTCCAGTCAATCACTCTGACCTGTTCTGTCAACTTAAACACCATCAATTCCCTGTCCACCTCGGTTTTGCAATGAACACCGATAAGGCACTGAGTTAATCACTCAAAGTTGTTGGCCTCAACCTGCTAAGTGCATGCTTCTCTCATGGTCAACTCAACGTTGGTTGCTGCAGAGTTGGCTGTGCGACAAATCTTTTCATATTGGCACCAGGTGAAAATACATGCAACGTTGTCTAACCTGAAACTTTCCAAGGGTAACAGATTTAAAAGCTGTCCTCTTATCAAAAAACAAAAAAGCCTTGCGACTGTATCACACCACCCAAAAACCATAACAAAATACACACATTTACCGACTTCGTATGCAGCATTCAATTATTCTAAGACAGCAATGCAATATATTACTCAACATTTGATGACCGAGACCCGTGTGAAGCCGGAAAACTTAGGATAATGGGTAAAATATATTATAAGTGTACTTATGACTTGTTTGAGAAAAATAATGTTTAAACTTCATAAATCACCGTCTATTGTTTCGCATTGTCAAACACTGTTAGGCCGGAAGTGGTGACACGCATGGAATCCATCACTGTGGAAGCAAGGGTGGGTGTATCACACAAATGATACGTCATGAGACTCCCTTCCTTTGGCATCGATATGCAATACCCTGGCTTGCCAGCAGAATGCAGTACAACCAAGTGAACGCTCATAAAACATCTCCCTTCTTTACGGCATTGAATATTGCATCCTCCGGTGGCTCTGGTTTTTCCCACATGCATAAACATTTACTCTATTCGTTCTTTCGGTAAAGTCACGTAGAAAGAAAATAAATTAAATAATAGAATACGACGTTTCGATTGCAACACAAGCAATCGTCATCAGGTAGAACTAAATTTGAGAGAGAGACAAAACACAGACACGGAGACACAGACAGACACACAAGCAGAGAGAGACAACACAGAGAGAGACACACAACATACACACAGAGACCCCACGCCTCTGTGTCGAGGCCTTAAATAGGGAGAGAGGGGGTGGGGCACAGAGAGAGAGAGGTGGGGGTGCTGGAGCAGAGAAATTCGCATGTCATTGAGAGAGCTGTGTGGAAATCCACACCGCAGCGGCCAGGGGAGAGAAAGAGCAAATTAACCTAATTGATGATTGTCATTACACATAATGACAATCATCAATTACATTATGATCAATTACACTGATGTCAATTCCATTAGCATAATTGGCATTGAAGTCATTATCATAACATTCATATCACTTCATTATCATTTCAAAATATACCTTCCATATGCTTTTAAACTCTGCTGCTTTTTATTCAAAATGGTGGTTGGTAATAATCCAGTAGAGGGGGTTCCCGAATACAACAAATGGAACACCTACGCATCCAAAGTTACATCAAGTCTCACTGTTTGGAGTAATTGCAATGTTCTCATGACAAACTCGCTCGAACCGAAGTTCAGAGAAACGTCATTCATTTGAGATGATTTTACAACACTAACTTAGTTACAATTTTAGAATAGATTGACAAAAAGCTGATTTTGTCAACTATAAAAATTCGGCGATGATATTATGTAAGACTAGCAATTATACAGTTCCTCTCATAATGTTGAACAATTATATTCTCATTCATAATAAAATCACGAATGTGTTAGGTACATCAATGTCATCTGACCTGTTATGGAATGGCTGTATTACTAATCAGGCTAAGGCGACAGCAGAGAATATTTGTTTTCTTTTCCAGGTCAAACACTTTATTTTTTATTTAACTTTGAATACATATAATTGCCCTACAACGTATCTCAAATTCGTCCACAGCTGGGAAGCTCATCTTCTTGGTTCTTTCGGTGACTTTACCGAAATAACCAAGAAGATGAATCCCTGCAGTCACGAAAGCTTTAAATCGAAAATCTGGGAAGCTGTTGTTTTAACAACCATACCGCAGGTCACAACAACACTGACGGTACGCACTCACCCACCCACCCACTCACCCACCAAACCACCCTCTCACGCACCCACTCACCCATCTACCCACCGAGCCACTCAACCACACAGCCACTCATCCACCAAACCACCCACACATTCAACCACCCAATCACCCACACACCCAACAATCTACCCACTCGTCCACCCACCCTTTCACCTAGTGACGCACCCACACACTCAATCACCTCACCTACTCTCCCACACACACTCTTTCCCACCCACCCACATATCAAGCCACCAACCCAATAACCCACTCACCCACCCAACCATATACCCACTCACTCACTCATCCACTCAGCCACCCACTCAAAAACCCAACCACGTATCCACCCAGCCTTTGATCTACTCACTCTTCCACTCGCCCATCCACATTTCACCTACTCACCCACCTCACCTACCCACCCTCTCACGCACCAACTCACCTACCCTTTCACCCACCAACTCACTCACCAACCCATCAAGCAACTTACCCAATCACCCTCTCACCCAACCTCATCCACTCACCAACCCACCCATTCACCAATCTAACCACTCGTCCACCCACTCGTTCACCCACCCAGCTTCTCACCCCCTCACCTAACATTTCTACTCACGAACAAACTTACTTACCCTCTCACCCATCCACGCACTCAGCCACCCAATTATCCATTCATCCACTCACCCATTAATCCACTCAACCACATACCCACTCACCAATTAACCGACCCTTTAACCCACCCTCTCAAATAGCCATCAAGCCACTCACCCAATCATCCACTCAGATCCACACACCCATCCAACCCAACCACTCATCCACCCACCCTTTCACCTACCCATCCACCCTTTCACCTACTCACCCACCCTCTCAACCACTCACCCACCCACCTTGCATCTACTCACCCACCTCACGCACACACTCACTCACTTACTCACCCACCCAATCACTAACCCAACCACTCGTCCACCAACCCACTCAACAACTCACCACCCACCCTCTCAACCACCCTCTCACGCACCCACCAACTCACCACCACCCTCTCAAACACCCATCCACTGACCTATCCATCAAGGAACACACCCACTCACCCACCCAGCCAACAATATACTCACTCTCACCCACCCTCATCCACTCACCAACCCACCCATTCACCTATTCAACTACTAGTCCACCCACTCTCCCACCCAGCCTCTCACTGGCTTATTTACTCACTAACCAACTGATCCACACGCCCTCTCACTCATCCACCCATTAAGCCACTCACTCACTCACCTACTTACCCACCTACTTACCCACTTACCCACTCACGCACCCAGGTGTTGGTTCTTACCTCAACATTTGATGTTGTGTGCCTTTGGGGATGTGATCAGAGGCTGATGAAGGATTTAACTACTGGATGAATGGTCACAGGAGTTGTTTGATCATACCCCCAAGTGGAGTGACCAGACCTAGTCCAGATTTTACTCGGCACTGACGTTAGCCATGTCGGGAATCAGACTCAGGTCACTGGGTTCAACGTTTTGCGTGGTAACCAGTCACCAACGCTTCACTCCCGCACCAGAATCAGAACAGCACTGTCTCAATAATGATCTGAGGCTTCTACTAACCTGACATGCCCCCAACCATTAACCCGACCTTACACTCACCCGAACAGATAGAGTACAAATTAATTCAATGAGTATCGACATGGTGTTCAACACCTGTTTAGAGCCCTGAGCCAGTGGTGGAAATTCCACATTCATATGGTGGGGTGCATCTATCCAAAATGCGAAGAATGTTTACTTCCCTATAACATGATACTAGTTTAAACAATCTCGCATTGATGATAGGCTGAGTCAACCCCACCCTAAAAGGATTTGAACTCGCAACCTTCAGACGACTTCAGACCACTTAGCGGATTAGAAACCCATTCAAGGAGATACACAACCTGGAGCTAATTTACTGACCCATCCATTCACACACTCAACCACCTTAGTAATCCACTCACTTGCGAGTCGGTTCATGAGAAAGGATTTTCCGGTTCGATATTTCCCGGCTATCGCCACCACCACCACGGGCTTCTTGATTTTCCCCAGAACCTGCGCCGTGTCCTCGTTGATGTAGAATCTCCCGGTGTCGTCTGTCATGATGAACGGAAGCGGCATGCTTGGGTACGGAGACGACGTGGTCATGACTTCTTTGCTTTGATCTCTGTGAATGTTTGAGTGTCTCTGTCTCTCTTAACGGGTGCCAGGCTAAGCCTCTGTGTTTCTCTCAACGAGTGTGTGTGCCTGTATCGTTCTCAACAGGTTTGTGTATGTCTGTTTCTTAGGTGTCTGTATTTATCACTCTCAACAGGTAATTGTATATTTCAGCAGGTGTGCGTGTGTGTGCGCATCGGTTGGGTCTTCACTCTCACGTTTAGTTAAGGGTTGTCAGAGTTTTTACATTGTGAACTTTGCCCAAGGCAATTACATACAGACCAAAATGCTGTGTTCGTCGTTAATTGTGATAACAGGGTTGTTTTTGACTTCGTTTTCAGACCCATTTTAATTGGGGCTTTAAGATCAGGCCTGATTGCCCACTGGCCAACCAGAGAAGGGCACTTTAAGGTTGGTGATTGCTACGTGATTGTTCAGGGGGAATGCACCTGTGGTCCAAATGGTTATAACTATATCAATATAGGACAGCCTACAAAAAATTGCCACCCTCTCGCAGTAGTTCGCTTTGGAGATCATCTCTGCAAGGGGCTTTACCTGGTCTGTGGCTCTGGATTGTTCTCCATACTTCCTCAACAGTCTCCTGGCTTCTCGAAATGTTATTTGGCAAGCAGACGTCAAAGATGGCTGCACCCCCCCATGCAGCCTCGGACACAAGCAGAGTTTGATTTTTATTCTTTACTTTTGTGGTGACTGCGAGCACGACATGATGGTAACAGTTGAATGATTTTAGACCTCCAGTTAGCTTTGTAATACTGGAAGGAATACATGTATAGCGAACACAGATGGAAATTATGAAACCAATGTGCGGGTTTAGTAGTTTTGTTTGCCCGTCTAATGAAAGTGGTGGGTAAGGTGGGGGTGTTGAAGCGGGTTTTGGGCTCTGGTTGGAATTACAGCTGTGTAGGACTCTACAACAGTTGTTAATCAATCTGAAATCTCTTGAGCCAACAACTCATGGAATGTGACTTTAAATCATGACCAGCATCGTCCATAACCAATCTAAACAGTCCCTACCATCATATTAAACGATTATATGTTTATCCATAATAAAACTATTCATCTGTTTGGCAATCTCACCTGATATGCCATGGAATGGCTTTATGACTCATCTGGGTAAAAATGCATTGAAGAAGCTTGAATTTATTTTCTTTGCCAACAGGGGTGCCACAGTGGTGAGATGTTAACTAAATCACCTGATATGCAGAAGGTCGTGGGTTCATCCCTAACCCTGACGCCTGTTGTATATTTGGAGTTTGCATGTTGTTCCCGTGGTCCCGTGGAATTTCTCAAGATAATCCAGGTTTTCCTTCCACATTTAGATTGAATGTGAGTATGTGGCTGCTATACATTTCCACATAAGCCACTTTGGTGAGCTATAATGTGTGGCCAGGTCGCTTCTAAAAAAAGCTTTATGGATCAGTGAGCCTTACCTTCTAAATATAACAATAATTACTAGATGATTGAGCAATAATTGATTCACTCCAGCCACTCTAAAATGGTCACTAATATTGTGGTCATTATTCGTGAATTTCATGACAATGATTTGGTGAGATCATTACGTGGCCAAACCAAAACATCTAACATGAGTTAGTTTGCTTCTGGAACAACGGATTCAGATAGAGCGTTCAAGCCTCAAGACCGTCTCTTGTTTTGGATTCCACACTTTAGTTGCATTTTTATTTATTGTGGAATTAAGATAGGTGACAGCTAAATTGGGGAGCCCGTCATCCAGCAATACATTTAACATCACGGATGGACTTCTGTACACCAATAAAACATACTGAAGTTAGGTCATAATGGATAATCTAAACGAGTGTTATGCATCCATGTAATAATCAGAGCTAAATGCATAAACACTTTCTGCCTCATGTTGAACCTCTACTAGTTATGAAATAGTTATACAGATAATATATAAATAAAACAGACAAATATTAATTATTCACTTATCTATGCCTTCTGGGAGTGCATGATTTCATGAGCATTGATTCAACACAAGCACATTTTTAACCGACGTTCAGTGTCTCATCACTGGAGTGAGGCTTGCTTGAACCAATGCTGAACTGTCAGATGTTTAGATAAGGGTTCAACGCAAAGCTAATAAATACATAACACTAAATAATTTGTATCGTTGTGGAAAATGTAAGTAACAAAAAAATTACTAGACAACATTCCCTTTTCACATATCTGTCCTTCCTACTAAAATATAAAAGTATCTTTAACCTTGTTAAAAATGTTGACCGGTAAGACCATTTCAGAAAAACAGCTTTGAAACTTTATCAACACTGTACGTAGATACGCGTACCATTCAAAGGTCATTCCAGTACACTGCAAACAAACCAGGCAACGGGTCTAAGCATGTGTAGTGACGCACTCAGATACACTATGAGTAGGAGGCACTCTATTTATTAACAGCCTTTACAGGTTACAAGAGGTAACTACAACTCTCAGTCAGGGCAGCTGGAAGACTGCCTGACTGACGACGCCGAGAAGGTGAAGGCGTAGATGGTGACGAAGACTCCAGCAGCACGACGAGGAGATGCCACTCCAAGCAACAGCCCGAGCCTTCGCCAGGGTCCCCTTTAATCCTCCCGGCGTGGCCTCGCTCTGCCTCAACCACGCCCCCCTTCTAGAACCTACTCGTGGGTTCCCGGGCTTACCTCACATGCCCCCTCTATCACATTTCCCCTACATCCCTTTCTCTGGCTTATCACAAAACCTGCTGACAGACAGAGCTGCTGCAACTGCAGATCCCCTTTTCTGCCAGCAACCCACGCTATGCTACGTAGTGACCCATTCCATGTCACTATACATGTAAAGGTGGGGTGATATATTTCCTTACCAAATTCTCTTTTAATTGTGAACAAATATTACTACATTGCATCTGAGCACAAATCCGAGCTAAGTAGGAATACAATTGTCACATTTATAGTGGAGTTGAAGCCTCACTGATAGCCTCTCACTGCTAATACATCAACAAACACCGTATCATAGTCCTGTTTTCACCAACTCTGTCCATGTGTCCGACAGCACATCCATGCCAGTAGCAGAAGCTGGCCCCTAAGGCGAGAAAAATGCTGATCCTGCCAATGTCTAGATGTATCATAACGCTCAGCAACATCATCTTTTGCTCCAAGGTCAAAGGTCATAGGAATATGAAAAAGGTCAGGAATATGTTTATCGATAACACACCCACAGCTAAAGCCGTCATGTGGAACATGGACTAGTTATTCCCCGGCAAAAGATATCCACTGCAACCAACTCTGATCGATATGTTGAGGAATCACCATGATGCAAGATATAAGAAATTACGTGTGATAGAATGTTCTGGGTCACTGTGCGGTGTGGCCTAAACAATTCAAGCACACGCCAGCCAAAGTTGTCTGAGATGTTGGGAAATATGTTTAACATGCATAATACGTACTTTTAGGATACCCCTTTTGCACGTTAGCGTTGTAATCGTAACATGTGCTTATATCCCGACTCGACGAACGGATTCAGATAGAGAGCTTTCAAACCTGCTCAACAACGTCTTTTATTTCGGATTCCACATTTTAGGTGGATTTTTTAATCGTGGAATCAATATATGTGACAGCTAATTGGAGAGCTCTTCATCCAGCAGTGAATTTAACATAACTGATGATTCTATGGGGACCTCATTTGCCAGTAAAAATATGATAATTGGTTCTTTACCCTTCTATCTGGCAACAAAAAAAAAGGTGTCAGTTTTGTTGCCAGATAGAAGGGTAAAGAACCAATTATCATAACTGATGATTACTGACTTTTTTTATACCAAGAAAACATTAAATTGAAGTTTGTTCATAAAGGATCATTATTATGACTCCATGTTATAAACCTCTCTTGGTAACAAAAAAAGTGGGACAAGTAATACATAAGCAAACAAATAAAAATTCTTTACTTATCTGTACCTCCACGTAAACAATAACAAATATATGCTTACATAAGCCATCAGCTACGAGAACTGCTGTGAGTGCATAATTTCATGAGAATTGATTAAACTCAAGCACATTTCTAAACCAGTTTCTGTGTCTCATCAGCAGTGTGAGGCTAGCTTTAACCAATTCTGGTGAACTGTAAGATGTATATAAGCTTTGACCCGTTCAGTTAGATAAGGGTTCAAGGCAAAGATAGCAAATACATTACACGAAGTAATTAGCGTCGTTGTGGAGATAATAAGTAACAAATACTATTTCCAGATAACATGCCTTATTTACATCTGTTCCTGGCAAATATTAAAACTTGTTTTTACCCTTTTTAAAAACGTGGAGCAGTAAGAATGGTTCAGAAAACACTTTTTGGCGCAAGTCACGTTGGGAAGATATCGTATCAGTAAATAGTGATTCGCTTGCGTGACTTTGGCTGAGTCAACATGCAATTGTGATCAGACGTTACCTACCCCTATCCACAGCATATAACTACAGGGAGACAAAGCCAGGCCTGGAGGGGCAATAGTTGGCACACTTATAACAACTAATCTCGAGCTAATAAAACTACCATATACTCACCCACATAGATATCCATGCATACATACCCTCAGATGCCATATGTATATTTATGCATGCACCCACGGGCACACATCTATTCAAACACGCACACAGACACTGATATAGACATGTGTTAAGGATGTTAGACATCCTTGAATAGCGTCTTTGGAAGCCATGCAGGATATAAATTCTGGAAACTAATATAAAACATTACATTTCACCAGGTAAGGCCCACTGAGCTATACAGGTGTCTCGCTTAACGAGCGTTCTTTTTACGAGAATTCGCTATAACAAGCAACAATCAATCAAAGGCGTACCGTGAAAGCAGCGGGTGCATCACGACCAGCAGCTATTTGCTTGGCAGCTGTACCATGCTGCTTGAACCGCGTGTGGATGCAAGGGGATTGGGAGACGTGGGTGACAGAGGGGTAAAGTGTGTTGAGTGGTGGCGCAACAGTTAGCGCACGATGCTAGGAACCCAGTCACCCAATTTCCATTCCCACTCATGGCCAACACCAGTGACGATTATCTAAACCAGTGTTTGGCCTCCCCTAGGACGACTCAGACTCAAATTATTACCTTATCCGGTCTGTAAACATCACCACTAGTGAGACAAAGGTGATTGGGCGTGGTGCTGGCCACCTGCCCGTCATTTGCATACCGGTCTTCATAGGTGTTCAAT